GGGCCGCCTCCGAGTGCCTTGCCCGGACCTGAGCTGGAGATGCTGGCTGGGCTACCGGCGTCAGACCCCGGGCGCCTCATCACGGACCCGTGCAGCGGCCGCACCTACTTCAAAGGCCGCTTGTTGGGCAAGGTGGGCCGGGGGACGTCCCCGGGGTGGTGATGGTGGAGGTGGGGGTCCCGGCCGGCCTCTTTTCTGACGCCGAGCCAGGCGTGGGCGCTTTACCGTAACGCGGGGACGTCCGCGGGCTAGACTCGGCCTCCCCTCGAACACCCAGCCTGATGCCCCCTCTTCACAGGGGGGCTTCGCCCGGTGCTACGAGGCCACTGACACAGAGACTGGCAGCGCCTACGCTGTCAAAGTCATCCCGCAGAGCCGCGTTGCCAAACCGCATCAGCGTGAGAAGGTGGGTCTAGGCTCAGTGGGGGACGGGTGCGGGGGGGACGGTGGCCTGGGAACCATGGAAGGATGATGACCCTGTGCCCTCATCGCAGATCCTAAATGAGATTGAGCTGCACCGAGACCTGCAGCACCGCCATATCGTGCGTTTTTCACACCACTTTGAGGACGCTGACAACATCTACATTTTCCTGGAGCTCTGCAGCCGAAAGGTGAAAGATGGTGATTCCAGCAGGGATGAGGGTGAGGGAGACAAGAGAATCTTTTTTGTTGTTTTGAGACAGAGTCTTGCTCTGTCGCCCAGGCTGGAGTGCAGTGGCGCGATCTTGGCCCGCTGCAACCTCCGCCTCCCGAGTTCAAGCGATTCTCCTGCCTCAGCCTCCTGAGTAGCTGGGACTACAGGCGGGCGCCACCATGCCCAGCTAATTTTTGTATTTTTAGTAGAGATGGGGTTTCAGCATGTTGGTCAAGCTGGTCTCGAACTCCTGATCTCGTGATCCGCCCACTTTGGCCTCCCAAAGTGCTGGGATTACAGGCATCAGCCACTGCACCCCAGCTGAGAAGAGAGTCTTAAGACCCAAAGCTGGGGCCCTGTCTCTTCCACAGGGAGCAGAGATGGAGGGGGAGGGGAAGGGAAGTCCCACCAGGGGCTGAGGCAGTGATTCTCTGCAGTCCCTGGCCCATATCTGGAAGGCCCGCCACACCCTGTTGGAGCCAGAGGTGCGCTACTACCTGCGCCAGATCCTTTCAGGCCTTAAGTACTTGCACCAGCGGGGCATCTTGCACCGGGACCTCAAGTTGGGTGAGACTCCTGAGCCCTGACGATGGGAAGTTGGGGAGGGAGGGAGGAAGGAGGAATCTGACACACCTCTCTTTCCCCATCCAGGAAATTTTTTCATCACTGAGAACATGGAACTGAAGGTGGGGGATTTTGGGCTGGCAGCCCGGTTGGAGCCCCCGGAGCAGAGGAAGAAGTGAGTTTTGAGGAAAGGAGTCTGTGTGTGACATATGTGACAGTGCATACGTATGTAGGAGGCCAGGTGACTGTCTGATGTGTGCATGAGATAAATGGGAAGGGACAATGGGCTGTTTATGCGTGTATGAAGGTGGAGATGGCAGCCTGCGTTACTGGGATTGGTAGAGAGAGGGAGGATCCTATAGATGTGTGACACAGATAGGGTAGGTGACCCTGAATCCCTGAGACAGATGGGGGTATACAGATTCTTGGAGGCACATGACTTACCCTGTGTGTGGATGGGCGAAGGTGACAGGCAGCATGTGGTGTGTGAGACAGACTGAGAGTGGGAATGGTGCGACATGACACTGGGTGTAAGAAGACCCTGCTGTGGCCATCACACTGAGTGTGTGGGACACAGATAGCATGTGCAGCAGATGAGTGTTTATGGGGGTTGTGACAGCTGGTATTGGCGTGTGTGTGGCACAGACCATGGGAGGTGACAGCCTGATGCCTGTCTGACAGACAGGAGTGCAGGAAGGGAGAAGGGATCAGCTGTGGATTCTCTGTGTTGACCCTGGAGGAGGGGACAGGGCTGGGGGTCAGACCCTCCCCCTATCATGAAGAGCAGCTGGGCAGCTGGGCCAGGCGGGTAGGCGGGGACTCAGCTGCCATCCCTGGCATCCATTGTCCCAGGACAAGCAGGAGCTCTCTGGCCTTCGGTGACAGGCAGCTGCTTTGTCTGGACTCACAGTGGGGGAAGGGGTGGGGGGCTGCTGGGCTAGGTCTCAGCCTTCTCTCCTCCTCACCCTCTTTCAGGACCATCTGTGGCACCCCAAACTATGTGGCTCCAGAAGTGCTACTAAGACAGGGCCACGGCCCTGAGGCAGATGTGTGGTCACTGGGCTGTGTCATGTGAGTCTCAGGGACCAGGGTCAGCAGCAGACAGGTGGTGGGTGTGTGGGTGGGGTATCCCCTCCAGTTGACTCCTGACCCCTTGGGTCTGCCTTACAGGTACACGCTGCTCTGCGGGACCCCTCCCTTTGAGACAGCTGACCTGAAGGAGACCTACCGCTGCATCAAGCAGGTTCACTACACGCTGCCTGCCAGCCTCTCACTGCCTGCCCGGCAGCTTCTGGCCGCCATCCTTCGGGCTTCACCCCGAGACCGCCCCTCTATTGACCAGATCCTGCGCCATGACTTCTTTGCCAAGGTCAGTGGCTCCCCATACCTCTAAGTCCAGTCTGTGTATTCCCAGGGATTGAAAGGGGGCAGGTGACAGGACCCCTGGAGCCTCTATTCTCTGTTCACATGGCTCCCCTCCTTAGGGCTACACCCCTGATCGACTCCCTATCAGCAGCTGTGTGACAGTCCCAGACCTGACACCCCCCAACCCGGCTAGGAGTCTGTTTGCCAAAGTTACCAAGAGCCTCTTTGGCAGAAAGAAGAACAAGAGTGAGTCTTGGGTGTCAGTGGGTTGAGGGGGTAGAGCAGGAGTGCAGCTTGTCACATTTGTCTTGGGCATGTGAGTGTGGGTGTCTGGGGACTCGGGGGGAGAGCATGTGCAATACAGGTCCTTGGGGAGGTCAATCTCTGTGTCACCCCTGTGGGAAGTGGAGGTCCTGGGCCAGATACTGAGGACAGTATCACCCTTCACACCCAGGTAAGAATCATGCCGAGGAGAGGGATGAGGTCTCCTGTTTGGTGAGTGGTCTCATGCGCACGTCCATTGGCCATCAGGCTGCCAGGCCAGAGGTGAGGCACTCACGTGGACACTGTTTCCCTGACTCACCCCCATCCTAGTAGCTGAGGGAAGCCGGGGATAAAAGAGGCTGCTGAAGCATCCAGCCTCGTGGTGGCCTAATTGGCTATGTGTCACTAGCCTGATGGGGCTCTGACCTGGAGTGCCCTGGGAGCCAGGGAGGGGCTGGGCCATGGACTCAGGGGTTTGGATTTTGGGGCCTGTCTCACTCCCTTTCCCTGCCCAACCCTCCAGGCTCCAGCAGCTTCTGGACCAGCCCCTGTCAGCCTGGTAGAGACAGCACCTGAAGACAGTTCACCCCGTGAGACACTGGCAAGCAGTGGAGACGGTGAGGAGCCAGGGAGGATGAGAGGTTGCTGGAGCTGAGACCAGGGACCAGAGGGAAAGAGTGAGCAGAGAGGCCTGGCCTGGGTCCTGGGGGGCTGATGCCTAAATCTCAGTGCCCTGTCTCCTTCAGGATTTGAAGAAGGTCTGACTGTGGCCACAGTGGTGGAGTCAGCCCTCTGTGCGCTGAGAAACTGTGTGGCCTTCATGCCCCCAGGTAAGGTCGGGGTCTGCGTGCTGCTGTGGAGGGAGTTCTGTGGCTGGGAGGCCAGGAGCAGATCCTCACTCTCTTCTCCCATGACAGCGGAACATAACCCGGCCCCACTGGCCCAGCCAGAGCCTCTGGTGTGGGTCAGCAAGTGGGTTGACTACTCCAACAAGTTTGGCTTTGGGTATCAACTATCCAGCCGCCGTGTGGCTGTGCTCTTCAATGATGGCACGCATATGGCCCTGTCAGCAAATAGAAAGTAAGTGCTGTTACGGGGTGCCTTGTATTCAGGCCACTAACCCAGCAGGGCTGTACCTGGGTGTGTGCTCCTGGGCTCAGGGGTCTAGGGCTTCTCAGGGGAGGGGCATTGGTGCAGGGCACCCTCTGACCTCTGCCTCCCCATTCCAGGACTGTGCACTACAACCCCACCAGCACAAAGCACTTCTCCTTCTCCGTGGGTGCTGTGCCCCGGGCCCTGCAGCCTCAGCTGGGTATCCTGCAGTACTTCGCCTCTTACATGGAGCAGCACCTCATGAAGGTGTGAGGGCTGGAGCTGTGGCACATTGAAAACCAACACATCCTGATCCCTTCTCATTCTCCCTTGGTGGTGGGGGGTGGTGCTCAAAGCTAGAGGATAAGGCATACATTAATGGCAGGGGACTGTCTCATGCTCGATCAGTGACCTGCCCCGATCCCGCTCCCAGGGTGGAGATCTGCCCAGTGTGGAAGAGGTAGAGGTACCTGCCCCACCCTTGCTGCTGCAGTGGGTCAAGACGGATCAGGCTCTCCTCATGTTGTTTAGTGATGGCACTGTCCAGGTAAAGGACTATCCAGGAGTTGCCGGGAAGGTCTGGGAGGCCCAGGGTGCTGGGGAGGAAGCTGGGCCCGGAGCCTAGGCCCTGACCACTGTCATCCTCCTGTGTGCAGGTGAACTTCTACGGGGACCACACCAAGCTGATTCTCAGTGGCTGGGAGCCCCTCCTTGTGACTTTTGTGGCCCGAAATCGTAGTGCTTGTACTTACCTCGCTTCCCACCTCCGGCAGCTGGGCTGCTCCCCTGACCTGCGGCAGCGACTCCGCTATGCTCTGCGCCTGCTCCGGGACCGCAGCCCAGCCTAGGACCCAAGCCCTGAGGCCTGAGGCCTGTGCCTGGAAGGCTCTGGCCCTTGCCTTTGTGGCCCTTCCCGTTCCTTTGGTGCCTCACTGGGGACTTTGGGCTGAATCTCCCAGGGAATCAGGGACCAGCTTTACTGGAGTTGGGGGCAGCTTGTCTTCACTGGCTCCTACCCCCTCTCCTAATAAGCCTGAGCCTTAGCTCCCAGCTAGGGGGCGTTATTTATGGACCACTTTTATTTATTGTCAGACACTTATTTATTCGGATGTGAGCCCCAGGAGGGCCTCCTCCTAGGATAATAAACCATTTTGCAGAATTGGAGTCTCCCTCACTCGCAGTAGAGACTGTGGACTGTGGCCACGGCGAAGAGTGAGGCGTTGGTGTAGGAGGCCGAGGCCAGCCCGTCGCGCGCCTCGTCCCAGAGTGCGCGGCTAACTACAAGCACGCCCTGCCCCTCGCGCGGCCCCAGCACCACGCTGCACACCAGCTTGTAGCGCTGGGGGCTGAGCTCGCGCAGGCGCACGTGCACCTGCTTGCAGAGCTCCTGCGCCAGACGCCCGGCCTCGGTGCCTGAGTAGCGCGCGTCGCGCAGCCCTGCGGCCAACGCCGCCTCCAGAGCTCGCTGTGCGCGCACGGCCTCCCAGCGCTCTCCCGGCACCGGCTCCGTGCGGTAGGAGGGCGCCACCCGACGGGCGGGCACCTGGGGCAACCCCGAGAAGCTGACACGGGAGCCCTGAGGGGGCACGGGGCCCAGGGATGGCCGCCGACCCCCGGGACCCGCACCTGGCCCGGCCAGGGAGTTCCGGCGGGAGAAGGACGCAACCAGACTGAGCATGGAGCCCCGGCGTGAGGCCGGTCCCGGACCTGGACCTGCTGGTCGAGCCTCATCAATGCTGGGCAGGCGGCCTCTGGGCCGCACCAGTGAGAGTTTCGGCCCGGAGTCTTTGGCATTCTCCTCCTCCTGGCATCCAGGAGGCAGTGGCCTGCTGCTCATGGACCTGCTGGCTGGAGGACCCACACTCAGGGCGGCCTTCACGGGGCATCTGTCTACCCACCCCAGCCTCTTGATGTCAAGAGTTTTTACCTTCTTCCCCCTTCTTACCTGTGTTTTGGAACAAGTGGATCAAATAGTCCCAGGCTGCCTGGGTTCCTAGGTGCCAAGAAGGTTAAAGGCTGTTAGACACACAGACTGCTGGGACTGGGATCCTCGGCTAGTCCCTGCCCGCTGAGCTCCTTCCCTGGGCACTTCCCTGGGAGGTTAGCCAGGTGCGCTCAGAGTCTTAGAGACTGCTGCTTCTCCCTTCCACCAGACTTCCCTAAAAGGGGAGGCAGACCTCTGCCTCAGCCTGGACTGTGGAGGTGATGGTGCCTCCAACCCCTAACCAAGAAGGACCAACAGACCCAGCTCCTTCAGCCCCAGCCCTGCGGGTGTTGAATCCAGTCCTCTTGTACTAGATCTACTCTAGAGTGGCTGGCACAAAGATTCCCCCACACCTGGCTGTGGCTGAGGGCAGACGACTTGTGAAGCCCCCTTCCACCTTCTGCCTCTGGCTTCTGATCCCACTTCCTCCAGAATCAGTTCTGGGTTGGCTGGCCTCTGCTCCTGAAACTCCCTCAGGCACCTGAGTCACCTGCAGCGTTGGCTTCCGAGTTCTCTCCTGACTCCACAGCTCTGGCTGTGGGGGACTGAAGGGCAAGTGGGAGGGGAAGGACCTGTGTTGTGGAGTTGCCATGGGTTGCTGAGGCAAACACTCCTCCCTTCGGGAACCCTCTCTCCAGTCCAGCTCTGGCTTAACCTGAGAGCGTTGTTACTGTTGAGCACGTGCTGAGTGTGGGGTGCCCCCGAGTCATCAGGAAGAGCGGCTGACAGGGTCTTGCAGCTCAGGCAAACTCCCTAAGCGTGGACAACAGGGTTAGATGTAGAGCCAGGCTGTCGTCAGAAAGGCCTCGTCCTACCCCGGGGCTCTTCGGCCAGGGTTCATTTTCCCCCCCTGTGGAATGGCCGGATGACTGGCCATTTGTGAACAAGTCACAGAGGCCTAGGATATGGGGGAGACCTTGAGGCTGTGGGGGCGGTGGCTCAGGAATCCCGGGTCTGGGCCCACAGGAAGGAACACGTCATGGCTCTGTCTCCCCATCAGCCTCAACGAGGACAAACATTTCCGCTGCCAGCGCAGAGTTAGGGTGGGGCTTGGATGACTTCCTCAGTTCAGGGTTATGTGCGGGGGAGGGGAAGCTCATTGACTCAGCTGGTAGGAACCAGGCCTTAAAAAGTGGCAGTGACTCCGCGGCGAACCCCGAGTCCAGCCTCGTGACCCTTGCTGACCCAAGTGTCCTGGGGCTTGTCCCTAGCTGGCTACACCTCGTGTGGCCTAGTACCTAGATTTCCCCGATGAGGCATTTCTGAGATGGCAGAGGCTGTGACACCTCTGCCAGAGCTGACAACTCATGTGACTCCCCTCTGGCAGGGACGGGACTGTCCCCTCCCAAACAAGCCAGGTCTGGGTCCTGGAAACCCATCTATGGGGGCGAGGATTTTCCCTGTTGAGTGGGAGTTTCCCAGGCTGTCTAACAGGATCCTAACACTGTGTGCCTGTGGAGGAGGGAAGGGTTAGGAGGGCAGGGAGTTTGAACTCTGAACCTAGGGCAGGCTGGCGTTCAGGGGCTAAGACCCTTGGATGATGCTTTGTGCCCCTCTAAGGGCTGAAGTTTTCCTTGGGCTTGCCCGGGAGATGGGTGGAGTCTATTCTCAGGCCGGCTCCAGTTTCCATGGAAACCTACAGGCTTCCCACCCCAGCGGCTGCCTGGGCAGACTCCCAGCCAGGGCCTCTTTTGCCGCCAGCCAGCCAGCCAGCCAGCCAGCCAGCCTCCTCCCAGGACCACGGGCCGCTCTAGCCTTGGCTTCTCCTGGCCCCTTCCTGTGTCTGTTCCCGTCCCCGAGCCTCTGGCCCCTGATGCTTTCAGGAGCCTGGGCCTCTCCTGCTCCACTCCCAAACCTCAGCTTCTCAGCAAACAGGCCTCCCAAGTCCCTCCTTCTCCCTCTGGGGCCTTGCTACTCTCACCCCCTCTAGGGCCTGGTCAGACTTCCCAGGCCCCCTCCTCCACCCCAACCCTTCTCACCCATGGATCCCCCGGGACTGGTCGTGCATGGGAAAGCTGAACCCTTTTCCGCAGCACTCCGAAGCCTCGTCAACAACCCGCGATACAGGTGAGGGTGGGCCCTGCCTGCAGGTTTTCCTTAGATGGCTCTGCCGGCCCCAGGTCTGAGGTGGCCTTGGTGAGAAGAGGCTGGGAATAAGAACTTGGCCCTCTTCCCTGGTGAACTCAGGCTGTAGGAAGGTCACATGTGGAACTTGGCGACTGGTCACTCAGTGTCTATGAGACCCTGAGAGCTGAAGAGAGGCAGGGCTGGTGAGGGTCCCTGGGGATAGAGCTGGGAGCTGCTGTGTGAGCTTAGGCAAAGCCCTTCCTTCTTTGGACGTTGGGTCCCTGGCAGAAGAGAATGATTCTCAGCCCCTGGGATCCTGAGAGACGGTGGGTCATGATTCCCCTCCTCCTTCCACTCACTCAGCTTGGTGTTGAGGCCTCTCTGCTTGAGGAAGAGGAACAGATGACCCTGTTCTGGGAACTGAGGCTTCACAAGAAGAACAAAGCTTGAGGGATTGAGCCATGTCCCTGACAGGAAGCCTGGGGGTGCTGGCTGCTCCCTGCTGGCTAGAATGCCAGTAGTGTCTGAAACCAGGGATAGAGGTTACAGGAGGCAGGGCTGCTGAGGAGAGCTAGAATGAAGCTCTGTCTTCATGCTCTCAGATCTGGGCTCTTTCCCAAAGGGTGGTGACTTCCATCACCCTGCTTCTTTGGGGGTCACAGTCTGGTCTGGATAATATGAACACTGTGAACACTCCCGGCTTGCACCTGGGACTAAGAGGCTCCAGGAGGCTCCAACCTCATCTGCCTCCTATCACCTGCCTTGTTCAGAGGTCCAGAGCTGGGGCCGGAAGTGATCATGAAGATGGAAACTGTGGTCTGGCTCATGATGGAGCATCACTGCTGTCTGTTTGCAGTCAGTGTGCACTCTCCGCCCTACACTCCCACACCCTCCTGTCTGGAGGAGGGCTGAAAAAAGCTGAGTTCGCAGCTGGTGGAGGAGGAGCCAAAAGAAGCTTCCCTTTACCCCAAGACTCAGGCTGGGGAGGAGAGGGAAAGGTGGGATCAATCTTGCTTATATTAGCCCGGGCGCCCCTCAGTAATCAAGCATAGTCACCTCCTCCGATACCAGAGGTTTAGGATTATTGTCCCATTTCGTGGGTGAGAAGCCTGAGATTCAAAGATAGGAAGTCACTTGCCTACGGTACTATCGGGTAGAGCTGGGACTGGAACTCAGGCCTGTGGGTCCCAGACATTCTGCTAGAGGGACTAAGCCCTGTCTCTTACATTCTGGATAGGAAACTAAGACCCAGAGTGGGCAAAGGCACAGCCCAAGTTGCACTCTAGACTATGGCCTCCTCTCTGCTGGCTCTCTGCCTCTCTCCCACAGTGATGTTCGCTTCGTGGTCGGTCAAGAACAGCAGGAGATATTTGCCCATCGGTGCTTGTTGGCCTGTAGATGCAACTTCTTCCAGCGACTTCTGGGCACAGAGACAGGCCCCGGGATGCCTAGTCCTGTGGTGCTAAGCACTGTGCCAACTGAGGCCTTCCTGGCAGTGCTGGAGTTCCTATATACCAACAGTGTCAAGCTGCACCGCCACTCTGTGAGCCCACTGAGCAAAGGCCTGGGTGGGAGAGGTGGGGGGTGCCAGAGGCAGGAGTTTGCCCATTACACTGTGGGCCTAGGGCAGGGGAAACTCCCTTCCACTCCCCCAACCACCCACTCTACAGGTGCTGGAAGTGCTGACAGCGGCTGTGGAGTATGGGCTGGAGGAACTGAGAGAGGTGGGTTTTTGTGCTAGGTCCCTGTCTCATTTCCCTTGCCTCTCATGGGCTTACTTCCCACCCTGTTTCACACACACTCTGGCCTGGAGAGGAATGTGTGCCCACACAGAGAGAAGTATGTGTATCTCTCCGTGTTAGAGGGCATGAATCTGTGCCTGTGTGCAAAAGGATCCATGTGTGCCTGCCGCGTGTGTGCTGTGGGGGTAGGGGGGTGTTTATGGCTGTTACTATAAATACAAGGATGTCAGCCTTGATCTCTGTTCTCCAGAGAGAGAGAAGAAACAGACACTGAAAACAGTTATCTGGGTGGCATAAGAAGTGTGATAGAGGCCAGGTGAGGTGGCTCACACCTGTAATCCCAGCACTTTGGGAGGCTGAAGCAGGTGGATCTCTTGAGCCCAATAGTTCCAGACCAGCCTGGGCAACACGGTGATACCCTGTCCCTACTAAAAACACAAAAAGTAGGCCAGGCACGGTGGCTCACGCCTGTAATCCCAGCATTTTGGGAGGATGAGGCAGGCGGATCATGAGGTCAGGAGTTCGAGACCAGCTTGGCCAAAATAGTGAAACCCCATCTCTACTAAAAATACAAAAAATTAGCCGGGTGTGTTGGTGGGTGGCTGAAATCCCAGCTACTTGGGAGGCAGAGGCAGGAGAATCACTTGAACCTGGGAGGCAGAGGCTGGAGTCAGCTGAGATCATGCCATTGCACTCCAGCCCGGGCAACAGTGTGAAACTCCATCTCAAAAAATAATAAATAAATAAATAAATAAATAAATAAATAAATAAAATTAGCCAGGCGTGCTAGTACACGCCTGTAATCCCAGCTACTTGGGGGGCTGAGGCATGAACATCACTTGAACCTGGGAGGTGGAGGTTGCATGAGGGTGGGGCGCTTCTGCAGTCCTGCCACTAGGGAGAGGAGGAGACGACTTCCTGGAGGAGGAAACATTTGTATTGGATCTGGTAGAACAAACAGGATTTTGTTCCTAGGGGAAGTGGGAAGATGGCATTCTAGTCACAGAGGCAGAAAAGGGGCTAGTGAGACATTTGGTGTGTCTGGACTGTGAGGAGAGAGCAAGATGAGACTGCAGAGGACGCCAGGGCCTGGTCATGTAGGACCCTCCAGCATTTGGACTTCTTTTAAGCAGAAGGCAGTGGAGATTTCACTGAAGGTTTCTGCTAAGGGAGTGAGGAATTGGAAGCTCAGGGGAGAAGGGATTGAAGGAGGTGGGGAGGACTCACCAGTCAGGCAGGAGGTGAGTGCAGCAGTCAAGAGATGAGAAAGATGTCACGGATGAAATTCAAGTTTCTGCTAAAAATAGAAGTATGCTTGAGTTAGGAAGGGAACAAGTGGAGGAAGCTAAGCATCCTGAAAGAAGGGGAGAATTTTACATGGCCCTTATCTGGTCTTGATTAGTGGCGAACGTGCTAGAAGGTGGGTGGCTGGGATTGGTTTTGCTAGTCTCCAGTTCCTGTGAGCTAGCTGTCTCAGGCCTCCGCGATTCCCTTCCTCCTCTGGCCTGGGAGGTCAGGATGCATCTGGGGCTGCTAGGTGACTCACCGTTCCAAGACTGCCCATTGCTTCTGGGGTAGAGCTAGTGTCTTGGAGCAGGGACACCGCCACACAACCCACATTCATTTCTGTTCCCAGCTGTGCCTGCAGTTTGTGATGAAGGTGCTGGATGTGGAGTTGGTTTGTGAGGCCCTGCAGGTGGGTGCTGCTGGACAGGCATGCAGGAGTCTGGCTGTGTGTGTGGAAATGGGCCCCCAGGTGCTGGGAGCCTGGGCCTGCTGTGTCTGGCCTGGAATAACTTGGGTACATTGTGTGTGTGGGTGGGTGCTCCAATGATGTTTATATGATGAATTCTATGCCCAGACATGTGGGGTCCTGGGTATATCAGCTGGGTCAGGTGCAGGAGCAGATGTTGAAGGGGCTGGAGGTCTTTGTTGGTTTTCTAGCTAGGGCTGGGGAATGGTTCTCAGCTGGACTTGGGGTAGGGGGATGGGTGGCTGTAGACTTTAGAAGCCAAGCCTAAGCCCCAGGTGGGGTTTGAAGGCCGTGGCGTGGTCTCCTGTAGGGAAGGGCAGGTTGTAGAGTGAGTCCACCTGTGTGTATATGTGTGTACCAAGGCTTTCACTGGGTCTAGTTTCTTGGAAGGCCGAGGGCCCTATCCGCCTCTCTAGCTAGGGCTAGGGTCAGGCTTGCAGTGGTGGGTCCCAGTGAGCAGAGCTGGACTATGCGGCACTCCAGTCTCCAACCTGACCTCCCTCATTCTGCTCGCAGGTGGCCGTAACCTTTGGCCTGGGGCCGCTGCAGGAGCATTGCGTGGCTTTCATAGAGGCCCACAGCCAGGTACTGCTCCCTTCATACTCTTCACCCCACACAATGCATTCTGCTCTTCCCTGACCCATTTGCCGGTCGCAGGAGGCCCTCCGGACCCGAAGTTTTCTGGAGCTGTCGGCGGCCGCGCTGCTGCTCCTGCTACGCAGCGACAAGCTCTGCGTGGACGAGGCTGAACTGGTCCGCGCGGCCCGGAGCTGGGCGCGCGTGGGCGCAGTGAGTGGGGCTGGGGGAGCGCAAGGGCGCGGAAGGAGGTGCGGGCCGCAAGCCCGGCGAGCGGGCGGCAAGGGGAGTGCCTGACTCAGGGCTGGCGTTCGCAGGCGGTGCTGGAGCGGTCGGTGGCCGAGGTGGCGGCCCCCGTGGTGAAAGAGCTGAGACTAGCCTTGCTGGCCCCGGTGGAGCTGAGCGCCCTCGAAGAGCAGAACCGGCAGGAGCCACTCATCCCGGTGCGGACGCGGGGAACCGGCCCAGCTCCACTCAGCAGCGGGGGTACAGGGCGCTGGGAGGGGGCGGGCGCGGCCCAGCCCACATCCTCGGGACGAGGGGCCACCACGGGACTGAGCGCTGACGGGCCTTGCTCTGCAGGTGGAGCAGATCGTGGAGGCGTGGAAGTGCCACGCCCTGCGGAGAGGGGATGAGGCCCGGGGCACCCCATGTCGCCGTCGGAAAGGCACCCTGCCCCGGGAGCATCACCGCTTTCTGGACCTGGCCTTCAAATGATTCAATGTCGGGACTCGCGGGGGGAACCCTGGGCCCGTCCATGGTAGACTGCCCCAAACTACAACTCCCGACGTGCTCGGCGTTCGGATTGTGCTTCCGTTCCCAGCGTGCTCAGCGGGCTGGGCGCCGGAAGGACCGTTGCCTGCGACGCGTAGACCTTTGTGCCGGGTCGAGCCGGTGTGGGCGAGGTGGGGCCGGGCAGGGCTTGGGCTGAGCCTATCTGCGGTGGCGAAACTCGAAAACGAGGATTTCTTTCGCTCCACGCCCTCACTCGACGCCCTGTCTCTGGGCATTGTCGCCCAGCAGTCTATCCTGATGACTCTCACATTACCTGTTTATTCAGCTCAACTCCCTCTTTCATTCCAGACCTACCTCCTGGAGATCGCCACCTGAATGTCCCTTAGACACCAAAGGCTCCGTGCGAAATTGGTCTCCCCAGCTTTCCCCAGCTCTGCCCCCATCGTGTTTTTCATTTCCGTGGGCGCCCACGCCAGAAACCTGGATCTCATCCTTGCTTATACCTCTTCCTCACACCTGCCTCAGGTCGCTTTTACCTTGTAAGAGACCTTTGCAGTTGGTTTAGTTCTTTCAGCCTCAGGTTCAACCTGTCCTGTCTGACACGTCTCAGTCTTCCTGCCTTCACTCCAGCACCCCCTCAATCCATTTCTCACAGTGCAGCCAGACCTGTCTATGATGGTCAGTTCCATGATCCTTAAGTCCTGGAATATCCCATTGACCTTCTGGACAAAATTCAATCTATTTCACTTTCAAGGCACAACTTAGTAAGTGGTTCCTAAATACTAGCAACTCTTCTTTCAAATACAATCTTTGCATAAATTCCCTCATCCCGGAGGTATTAGTCCTCTAGCTCCCTAGTTATTGCAGACCCTCTGCTACCTCCTTCGTTCATCATACATCTTGTTTTCCTGAGGATGGAAATATCCCTGGAGAAAGATCCCTGGGGCTTGGAGTGATGTCTTACTTCCGCAGTCTCTTACTTCCGCAGACTGCTTCCGCAGTCTCTGTCAGATAATCAGCGCTCTGTAAATGTTAATTAAATGACTTTGTTTCCTTATTTATTTATTTAAGACAGGGTCTTACTCTCAGGATGGAGTGTAGTGGTGCAATTTCGTCTCACTGCAGCCTCAGCCTCCTGGGCTCAAGCAATCCTTCCACTTCAATCTCCTGTATAGCTGGGACTACAAGTGTGCTCCACCATATTTGGCTAATTTTTTTTTCTGTTTGTAGAGATGAGGTCTCCCTATCTTGCCCGGGCTAATCTCAAATTCCTGGGCTAAAGCAGTCCCACTCCGTCTTTCCAAAGTACTGGGATTACAGCTGTGAACCACCACCGCACCTGGCCTATTTCCTCATTTAAATGGCACTTTATTCCATAAAGAGTTTTAAATGAGCTGCAAAGCAAGATACTATCAATCTAAAATGAGAGATAGTTGACTATTTAGAAGAAAATAAAGTTAGATTTCCATCTCAGGGACTTTATTCAAAAAGATATTACACAGGAGGCTGGGCACCATGGGAGGCCAAGGTGGGTGGATTGCCTGAGCTCAGAAGTTCCAGACCACCGTGGCCAACGTGGCAAAACCCTGTCTCTACTATAAATACAAAAAATTAGCCAGGCATAGTGGTACATTGCCTCCTGGGTTCAATCCCAGCTACTTGGAAGGCTGAGGCACAAGAATTGCTTGAATCCAGAAGACAGAGGTTACAGTGATCTGAGATTGTGCCACTGTAGTCCAGCCAGTGCGACAGAGTGACACTGCCTCAAAACAAAAAAACAAAAAAACAAAAAAAAACACCATATATATATACACACACACACGCTATATATATATATATATATATATATATATATATATATATATATGTATACACACACTATATATGCTATATATATATACTTTGTGCTATATATATTTGGATATATATATGGATATATATATGTGATATATATATGACAGTATATATAGCACAAAGTGTGTATATATATATCACAGAGATTAAAGATGTTATTTGCCATTATCTCTCAAGACAGAAAATGTGTTTACTCAGTAGTTACCATGTCATGGCAGCATTGTTTGGATAGTGGAAATTGAAAATCATCAGTATATCCATTACTAGAGGACTGGTTATATTAACTATGGTATATTCCTATGATGATATTTTAGAAATCCATGATCTTTGGTGAAAAAAGCACAGCATAGACCAAATACAACATGTTTAAAAAGGTAGCATAGTGATTAAGAGTGTGTCTGGTTTTGTATCTGCTCCAAAAAAAAGAATAATAATAATAAAAACAAGGGCCAGGCGTGGTGGCTCACGCCTATAATCCCAGCACTTTGGGAGGCCGAGGAGGGTGGATCACGAGGTCAAGAGATCGAGACCATCTTGGTCAACAAGGTGAAATCCCATCTCTACTAAAAATACAAAAATTAGCTGGGTGTGCTGCTGGGCGTGGTGGCTCAAGCCTGTAATCCCAGCACTTTGGGAGGCCGAGGCGGGTGGATCACGAGGTCGAGAGATCGAGACCATCCTGGTCAACATGGTGAAACCCCGTCTCTACCAAAAATACAAAAAATTAGCTGGGCATGGTGGTGCGTGCCTGTAATCCCAGCTACTCAGGAGGCTGAGGCAGGAGAATTGCCTGACCCCAGGAGGCGGAGGTTGCGGTGAGCCGAGATGGCGCCATTGCACTCCAGCCTGGGTAACAAGGGCGAAACTCCGTCTCAAAAAAAAAAAAAAAAAAAAAATTAGCTGGGTGTGGTGGTGTGCACCTGTAGTTCCAGCTACTCAGGAGGCTGAGGCAGGAGAATTGCTTGAACCCAGGAGGCGGAGGTTGCAGTGAGCCGAGATCGTGCCATTGCACTCCAGCCTGGGTAACAACAGCGAAACTCCATCTCAAAAAAAAAAAATAATAATAATAATGATAATAAAAACAAGAGAGTGTCTTCTGGAGCCAGAATGCTTGCATTTGAATTCCAGCTCCACACATACTGTCTTGGTGATTAACTTTCTTTGCCACAGCTTTCTTATTTATAAAATGGAGATAATGGAACGTATTTAGTAGAGCTTTTTGTTTGTTTTTGTTTTTTTTAAGATGGAGTCTCCCTCTGTCGCACAGGCTGGAGTGCAGTGGAGAGATCTGGGCTCACCGCAACCTTTGCCTCCTGGGTTCAAGCAATTCTCCTGCCTTAGCCTCCAGAGTAGCTGGGATTACAAGGCATGAGCCACCACACTTAGCTAATTTTTTTTGTATTTTTAGTAGAGATGGGGTTTCTCCATGTTGGTCAGGCTGATCTTGAACTCCCAACCTTAGGTAATCCACCTGCCTCAGCCTCCCAAAGTGCTGGGATTATAGGCGTGAGCCACTGCACCTGGCCTTTAGTAGAGTTTTTAGGAAGATTAAATTAGTTAATTTTATAAAATACTTAGAATTGTAGTGGAACAGATTAAATTCTGTATATGTGTTCAGAAAACATTCATTCATTTGTTCCACAATTATTCATTGAATGCTCTTGCACTACACACTGATTTAGGGTCATGGAATAAATACATCGGACAACAAGTTCAATGCCTCATGGAACTAACATTCTTTTTTTTTGCAACAAAGTCTTGCACTGTTACCCAGGCTACAGTGTGATGGCTCGGTCTCAGCTCACTGCAACCTCCACCTCCCAAGTTCAAGCAATTCTCCTGCCTCAGCCTCCTGAATAGCTGGAATTACAGGTGCCCACCACCATGCCTGGCTAATTTTTTTTTTAATTAAAAAAATTGTTTTTAAATTTTTTTGAGACAGAGTCTTACTCTGTCGCCCAGGCTGGGGTGCAGTGGTGCGATCTTGGCTCACTGCAACCTCCACCTCCTGGGTTCAAGCAACTCTCCTGCTTCAGCCTCTCAAGAAGCTGGAATAACAAGTGCACGCCACTACACTTGGCTAATTTTTGTATTTTTAGTAGAGGCACGGTTTAACCCTGTTAGGCAGTCTGGTCTTGAACCATTGACCTCAAGCCATTCATCCAACTTGGCCTGCCAAAGTGCTGGGATTACAGATGTGAGCCACCATGCCTGGCCGCTTGGCTAATTTTTTATATTTTTTAGTAGAGATAGGGTTTCACTGTGTTGGCCAGGTGGGTCTGGAACTCCTGACCTCGTGATCTGCCCTCCTCATCTTCCCAAAGTGCTGGGATTACAGGCATGAGCCATGGAGATAACATTCTAAGATAAACATACTAAGAGAAACATTCAGTAAACAAGTAAAGAAATGTATGATCTAAGGTCGGGCGCGGTGGCTCACGCCTATAATCCCAGCACTTTGGGAGGCCGAGACAGGTGGATCACGAGGTCAAGAAATCGAGACCATCCTGGTCAACATGGTGAAACCCCGTCTCTACTAAACATACAAAGAAATCAGCTGAGCATGGTGGTACGTGCCTGTAGTCCCAGCTACTCGGGAGGCTGAGGCAGGAGAATTGCTTAAACCCAGGAGGCGGAGGTTGCGGTAAGCCACGATTGCGCCATTGCACTCCAGCCTGGGTAAAAAGAGCGAAACTCTGTCTCAAAAAAAAAAAAAAAAAAAAAAAGAAAGAAAGAAATGTATGATCTAATTCAGGGAGTAGTTTGTGCTATGAAGAAAAGCAAAACAGGTTAAAAAGATAGCTATGTGGTGGAAGTGGGACTATTTCATACAGGGCAGTGATTGTAGACCTCTGATGAGGTAACATTTGACAAGGGATCTTCAGGGAGCCATGTGTCATGGGGAAAGGCATTGGAGAGTTTTGTGGAAGAGAGTGATCTGTGATCAGATTTACTTTAAAACAATAGTAATTTGGGCTGGGCATGGTGGCTCCTGTCTGTAATCCTCGGACTTTGGGAGGGCAAAGTGGGCAAATCACATGAGTCCAGGAGTTTGAGACCAGCTTGGTCCACCTGGTGAAATCTCATCTCTACAAAAAATACAAAAATTAGCTGGTGTGGTGGCGTGCACCTGCAGTCCCAGCTACTTGGGAGGCTGAGGTAGGAGAATTGCTTGAATCCAGGAGGTGGAGGTTGCAGTGAGCTAAGAATGCACCTCTGCACTCCAGCCTGGTGGACAGAGCAAGACCCTGTGGAAAAAAAAAAAAGAAAAGAAAAAAATAATTTGGCTTTTTTTTTTTTGTTTTTGAGACAGTCTTGCTCTGTTGCCTGGCTGGAGTGCAGTGGCACAGTCTTCGCTCACTGCAACCTCCGTTGCCTGGGTTCAAGCGATTCTCCTGCCTCAGCCTCCTGAGTAGCTGGGACTACAGGTGCGCGCTACCACTCCCAGCTAATTTTTTTGTATTTAGTAGAGATGAGTTTTCACTATGTTGGCCAGAATGGTCTCAATCTCCTAACCTCATGATCCTCCCATCTCAGCCTCCCAAAATGCTGGGATTACAGGCATGAGCTACCTCATCCTGCCAGAATCTGCCTGTTATGTGGAGGACTGGGATAGAGAAGGGCAAGAGCAAGGTAGAAGAATGGTCTAGAGAGAACAGTTAGGGAGGTTTTGCAATTATCCAGCAAGAGATCTTGGACCTGGATGGCAGCAGTGGAGGTGGTAAAATGTGGTTGGATGTAGCATATGCTTTGAAGGTGGGAGTCAGTAGGACCAGGTGATGGCTATAAACTGGGGGGTCACTAGCTATCAGATGGCATTTACTTAAAGCCATGAAGCCGGGTGAGCTCCCTTATGGAGAGGGAATAGGAAGGAGGTAGACTATTCTATCAAAATACTCTTTCCACAGGGCACTTCCCACTGAGATACTATTCATCCAGGATTTATGTTATTTATTAAATTTGTTTTGTGTTTGGTTCCATTAGAAAAGCTCCATAGGGGCCGGGCAAGCTGGCTCATGCCTGTAATCCCAACACTTTAGGAGGCCCTGGTGAGGGTATTACCTGAGGTCAGGAATTTGAGACCAGCCTGGCCAACATGGTGACCCGTCCCTACTAAAAATACAAAAAATTAGCCAGGCATAATGGCATGCACCTATAATCCCAGCTACTTAGGAGGCTGAAGCAGGAGAGTCGCTTGAACCCAGGAGGCGGAAGTTGCGATGAGCCGAGATTGCGCCATTGCACTCCAGACTCAGTAACAAGAGCAAAACTCTGTCCCTGCCCCCCAAAAGAAAAGAAAAGCTTCATAAGGGAAGGAACCTTGTATCTTCACCACATAAACGGTTTGGATTCGCAGTTGAATTGGGGAAAAAAATCAGTCTGAAAGAGCCTCACTAAACCTCTAGCAGCTAGATATACCATCCCCGAATCTCTAGCCACATAAGGCTTAAGTAATGACTGGAAAATCCTTTCCACTATTTTTATATCTCTTACATCTGCAACAAAGTATGAAAAAAAATTAACTGGGCATGGTGGCACACACACAAGTCAATAAACACGAAGTGCAGTTCAAAATCATGTGGCTTACAGATCTAATCTTCAATGCTTGCAATTCAGTGTCGTGAAACACAAGGCCTCAAAAAATTCCACAGTGACTCAAAACTATTTCTCTCCACGGAAATCTTTAGTAAAAGGCAAAAGATCTACATGATTTGAAGAGAAACCAAAATATGTGTCTGACTTCCGCTTCAAACCTCGAAGAGAGGGAGTAAGACACGTATGGTTTTTGGGTGCTTGCGTGGCACGCACTCCCTGCATGTAGTTTATGCTCACAGCTCATGTAAGAGGCATCATGTCCTAAAATAGTGCAGAAATCCCTGCACAGAGGGAGCCTAGGCATCATGAAGGTGTCTTTTCTTGGTGCACCGTGGGTAGGCAAATCACAGGCGGCTCTAGGCTGGTTGGGGTGGCTCAAGCAGGGCCCTGGACGCTGGACCACTGGGACCCGTGGGTTGCTGCTCTCCTTTGCTCTCCTCTGCAGGTCCTCCCGGGACCCGTACCCCGTGTGTGGTGCCGGGTGCCGAGTGCTTTGCGAGGCAGGTGTTTGTCCCTGGGGTTAGGGTCCTGTACCGCCATTCCTTACCAGCAGTGAGCCTTCGCCTTAGGGAGAGGGACAGGGAGACGGCTGGACACAGACACTCAGGAGCAGTGGGACCTCATAGGAGGCATGACACCACCACTCCTGGAGGAGATGGCATCCGATTCAGTTCACTTGGAAGGGTGATGAGGGGTCACGTCAAGGGGAGGTGGGAAAGTGTTCTAGGCAAAGGGAATGGCAGATGGACCTGAAGACCAATTCAGCCTGTCCAGACAGTGGCGCCCCATGTGTCTGATGAGGGGGTGCTGGGGTGAGAGGCAGAGACAAGATCTCCCTGGGCCTGGGAAGATGAAGATGAGGAGGCTTACTGAGGCTGGCTAACTTGCCCCGGGGTTACTCTGCTGTAAGTGGCACAGCTGGCTGACCCGCTTTGCACTATGCTGGCCTGGTGAGTTCTCTCTGCTCCACCTAGAAGCCCCTCCTTGGTGACCCAAACACTACTGGACCCAAATCCAGCCTCTCTCCCTATAGTAAGCACTCAATCCAGATGATGTTACCAAGTATATGACAAAAATCCAGAATCTGGGGTCTTTCCCACCCAGAACTAGAGAAGCTAATACCTCCGGATCTGGCACCACAGAAGCCTGCTGGTTGCACTGTGTACTCTAGGTTCTATACCAACTACCTACTTCTCTTGAGTCTTTTTAGGCATTTTAGTGTGGATTCAATTGCAGTAGTTGTTTCTTCTTTTTTGTGTCTTTTGGTCAGAATATGATTTCCTGGTCTTTGTCCAGGTGGGGTGGGATGTGAGAAGGCCATGTTTGTGGGGTGGCATCATTCCTGGTGAGTGGGTGGTTGGAGCCCAGGGTCTGTGTGCCTCAGCTGATGGCTGGGAAAGGGCAGTTGCAAACCTCCCCATGCCACTGGGTGAGGCTCCATGCTCTATTCCAGGGCTGTGGCCACTCTTCAACGCCTCTGCTCAGTGAGGCTGTTCAACCTCCACAGAACAAATAGCTTCAATTGTGTCCTCACTAGCTGCTAGCACCTCAGTTTCTGGGCAGTTCCTGCAACTGATTCACTGGCTGGCTGGCCAAAGATGCCTCTCAGCTGTCAGGCCGACTACCAACTTGCAGAGGCCTCTGCCCTGGAGGTTGCTCTTGGACCTGGCTCCTTTCCCTTGGTCTGCACACCTCCTGAGAAGCTCCCCAGACCCTGCTGACCTATCTTGGCATCAACTGGCCCCTTTCCTATCCACCTGCACTGCACCTGTCACCTGTTGCATAGCTCTGCTCCTTTACCATGGTGTTTCCCATGCGGATGAAGCAGGAGGTGAGTCTGGAGAGGCAGGTGAGCGGGAATATGATGGCTCTGAAAGCCACATGGTGAGGTTCTTTTTTTTTTTCTGCTCCCAGTCTCCAGAATGAACACAGTAGGATTTCACACCAACAAAATTTCTTATCATTTTGTATAGTAAGCACTTAATCTAGATGATATTACCAAGTATATGACAAAAATCCAGAATCTGGGGTCTTTCCCCTAGAGAAGTTAATACCACAGGCCCTGGTACCACAGAAGCCCCTTCCAATAGCTAATGTTCACTTGCAAACTCCCCGCTCTGTCCAAAAAAAAAGCACCAAAGTCATTTGAGATGAGTTCACATAGAATATATTTCATTCTTTAAAAAATAAAACTTTCAGCATAGCTAACATCTATGTATACTACAAAAATAGACATCTTCATATAAATAATGGATGTGGTAGGAGGTGAGTAGGGATACGGACAGTCTGCCCAGGAGCCGCCAGGAGGTGAGGCTGGGGCTGAGGAAGGGTGCTGGAGGGTCCCTCGGGCTTGGTCTGCTGGGTGGGCAGTGGTGTGGGGTGGGAAGGGGGACAGGGCTGCACTGCAGCCTGAAGTGCTGGCTTTCACTCTCTTGACACAGACACAGGCCCACACAGGCCTGGGTGTGCAAGACGGGGGCTGTTCTGTGGATATCAGGGAGGTCTGTGATTGAGTCAGGAGAGGGGGACCAGCAGCAGCAGGGCCCTCCAGGGGTCCATCCTGCATCTAATACCTGACCCAGTGCTTCCCAGTGACCTCATGCAGCCCACACAGGGTCTCCATGCTTCAGCTGCTCTTTCACCCAGTGGCTGGACCTGGTCCCCTGGAACTGAGGTTGCCAGAGCTGGTGGCAGCAGGGGACCAAGGGGGCTCATCAGAGGCTGGGTGGATATAGGCACCAGGCAGCGGGGGTGGGTGGATGGCCACGGTCATGGAGGTAGTCACTCTGGCAAAGCTCTGGGGGAGGGAGGGGGCTGCCCCCCACCTAAGCCCGCCTCCCTGTGGAGCTGGTGGACTCAGGACCTCAGGGCTTTCCTTGTACATCTGTATCACCTGCAGGGAGACATCAGCTCCAGTGAGCCCAGGGGCCCCTGGGGCTTCTATCTCCTTCAGCGTCTCCCTGGGGATCACCATGACTGTTGGGAAGCTGGGGTCCTTCTTGGTCTCCAGCAGGATATGACAGCTGGCGATTGACAGGATGTTGAGGCCTGGAGCAAACCCTGCACCTTGCTCTGGATCCTAAAAGGCTAAGGTGGGTCCCATGAAGAAGCTAGGAGGGCTAAGGGGCAGGAACATAGTGCCTGGGGAGAGCAGGAAGCTGCCACCTTCAGCTGGTGGCACCTGTTGGGAAGGGACCTTGTGAGCTGAGCCTGTCTGTACCACAGGGGGTATTTTGTCCTGGCTCTGTCCCTTCCCTTGCCTGTCCCTACCCTGTCCCCTGGGCTGGGAACAGAGGGATAGTGCTGAGGGTATGGTCACCTCTGGTGGCGGGCCCAGGATAGACAGCAGCACAGGCAGCAGCACAAGTCCGTGGAGGAGGCCGAGGAGCGTAAGCACTGTCAGCACCACGAAGAAGTACCTGGTTGGGGGCAGGGGAAGGTGAGTCAGCCCGGTCTGGCCCTCAGCCCTGCCTCCCTGCCCCAAGCCCTCCCCTACCTTACAATGAAGTCAAAGTTGGAACCAGCAAGCATGAGCAGACCCAGCAATGTAGAGATGGCCCCATCGGTCACAGGGGCAAATGTGTGCTCCAGGGCACGGGCAGCCCGCAGGTTCCGGCTACCCTGGGTGGTCAGGAAGCCCTGGAAAAACAGAGTGGTCCTGGAGCTGCTCCTCTGCCAGTCATGGCCAGCTCATCCATGTCCCCACCTGTATCTGTCTTCAGAGCTCAACCATACCTTGGTCCACCAAAGGCCAGGTGAACTAAGTTCATGGGAACTGTACAGGGAGCATGCATGAGTCCTTTTAGGGAATACCATATGGATGGGTCTGGTGAGCTTAGACACACAGACATGTAGAAAATAGGGTACAGCCTGGATGAGAGTGAGACCCTGTCTCTAGAAACAAGGTTGGGCATGGTGGCTCATGCCTATAATCCTAGCACTTTGGGAGGCTGAGATGGGTGTATCACATGAGGTCGGGGGTTTGAGACCATCCTGGGAAACATGGTGAAACCTTGTCTCTATAACAAATACAAAAGTTAGCCGGGTGTGGTTGTGTGGGCCTGTAGTCTCAGCTACTTGGGAGGTTGAGATGGGAGGATCGCTTGGCCAGGGAGGTGGAAGTTGCAGCAAACCGAGATCGCACCGCTATACTCCAGCCTTGGCAACAGAGTGAGAGCCTGTCTCAAACAAACAAACAACAAAAATAAGGTGCGAAAACTACAGCCTGTCACTTACTTTGCAAATGAAGTATTGTTGAAACAGCCATACCCACTGGTTAATGCATAGTCTTAACAATTTTGTGCTTCAATGGCAGAGTTGCAGCAGAGACTCTATGGCCTACCAAGCCTGAAATAGTTACTATTTGGTCCTATAAATAGAAGTTTGGCAATCACTGGTCCATCTAGAAGACAGATGCCAAAGTGATAACAGTTACTTCTCAGAGTAGCGTTTCAGAGTAGCCTAATTCAGAGTAGAATTAGGAAGATTACTAATTCTTCCTTTATACCTTTCTGCATGCTGGATTTGTTTGTTTTCAAGGACCATATATTGCTCTTAGAATAATAATTGAGTTTTTTGGGGGAAAGGAAGGGAGCTGTTTGTGGAGTCTGGCTGGGCTGTGGGTCCCCCCTTTCCTCTGCCAGAGAATATGCAGCCCTGGGCGAGGCCCTCCTCGGTTCTGGTATCTCTGCATCTCTGGTATCTTTGTAGAACCCCTCCATTAAGCCCACATTGCCATCCTGCTACCATCCGCTTTCTTATTTTTTGAGACAGGAACTGTGTTGCCTAGGCTGGAGGGGAGTGGCGTAATCATGGCTCACTGCAGCCTCAAACTCGGGGGTTCAAGTGATCCTCCTGCCTCAGCCTCCCAAGTGGTTGGGACTACAGGCATGCACCACCATGCCCAGCTAATTGGTTTACTTTTTTTTTTTTTTTTTTTTTTTGAGACAGAGTCTTGCTCTGTTGCCCAGGCTGGAGTGCAGTGGCATAATCTTGGCTCACTGCAGCCTCTGCCTCCCAGGTTCAAGCGATTCTTCTGTCTTAGCCTGCTGAGTAGGTGGGATTATAGGCACCCACCACACTAATTTTTGTATTTTTATTTTTAAAATACAAAATACATGCCTAGCTAATTTTTGTATTTTTATTCGAAACAGGGTTTCACCAAGTTGGCCAGGCTGGTCTTGAACTCCTGACCTCAAATGATCTGCTCACCTTCTTTCTAAAGTGCTGGGATTATACACATGAGTTACTGTGCCCAGCCTACAATCTTTTTGTAGAGATGAGGTTTCGCCTTGTTGCCGAGGCTGGTCTTGAACTCCTGGCTCAAACAATCCACCAGCCTTAGCCTCCCAAAGTGCTGGGATTACAGGTGTGAGTCACCCTTCCTCGCCCATCCCACAATGTCCACAGTAAAACTATTCAAAAAAATCATTGGTTCCCATTTTTTCTCTTTTTTTTTCTTTCTTTTTGAGACGGAATTTCACTCTTGTTGCCCAGGCTGGAGTGCAATGGCAGGATCTTGGTTCACTGCAACCTCTGCCTCCTGGGTTCAAGTGATTCTCCTGCCTTAGCCTCCTGAGTAGCTGGGATTACAGGCATGTGCCACCATGCCCAGCTAATTTTGTATTTTTAGCAGAGATGGGGTTTCTCCATGTTAGTCACGCTGGTCTCGAACTCCCAACCTCAGGTGATCCACCCGCCATGGCCTCCCAAAGTGCTGGGAATACACTCGTGAGCCACCGTGCCCAAGTGTTATTTTCTATCTCTACCCCCAGAATATAAGCTCCTTGGAGGTAAAAAAAACTATATTGCTATTATATCCCATATTCTTTTTCATTTTTTAAAAAAAAAAATATTTTTTTTTGAGATGGAGTCTTGCTCTGTCGTCCAGGTTGGAGTGCAGTGATGTTTTGTGATTTTGGCTCACTGCAACCTCCGACTCCTAGGTCCAAGCAATTCTCCTGCCTCAATCTCATGAGTAGCTAGGATTACAGGTGTGGACTACCACGCCTGGCTAATTTTTGTATTTTCAGTAGGGACGGGGTTTTGCCATTTGGCCAGGCTGGTCTTGAACTCCTGACCTCAGGTGATCCTCCTGACTTGGCCTCCCAAAATGCTGGGATTACAGGCATGGAGCACCATGCCTGGCCCAAATTCTTAAATAGTACCTAGCACATAGTAGGGATTTGAACAATATTTGTTGAATACTGAATCAGCCGACTGGGCCCTCCCCAGGGTGCATGTGCTCACCAGAGCCACATGTACTGTGAACTCAATGCCAATGCCTACAGAGGCCACGAGGATCACCACGGGGATGGCGCTCAGCTTGATGCCCAGGAAACCCATGATACCAAACAGCTCCACGGTCATCATCGCCAGGACCAGCACCTGGGGGAGGCAGGGCTCATGGAGGGCTCCTGGCAGGAGGGCTGACGGGCTGGCCAGGGTAGGGTGTGGGTGCCGCTGGGTCTCTCTGTCCCCACTCCTGCAAGGACTCACTATGAGGCCAGCCGTCCAGGGGTTGAGGAGCAGAAGGGCACAGACAAGGAAAGTGCACACCAGCAGGATGCAGATGGCCAGCAGGAAGCAGCGCCGCAATCCGAGATACTGCTCCCAGAAGAGGAAGGGGGAGCCGCTGGGGTAGGCGTTCACCCCAGCCTGGCCCGCCTCTGCACATGCTGCCCGGGCCCCCTCGATGGCCTCCACAAAGTCTGCAGTCTTCCGGAGGCCCCGCAGCAGGAAGGGGAACTGGGCAAACTCCAAGGGCTGAGCTGGCGGGACTGCGGAGGGGAGGGGAAGGGAGAAGAGGGAAAGGGACCAGGCAGTGAGCATGGGGCCGAGCAGGCAGGGCCTCAGGCTCGGGGCTTGTGTGGGCGAGGCTGAGGATCTTGCTAAGCTCCCCCCAGGACTCACTGCGAAGGTTCTCCCCTGTGGTATCGTATTTGTCGTGCAGCCATTCAGGAGGTGGGGGGTAGAAGTTGGCCTGTGAGGCTGCCAGACCCAGGGGGTCACTGCTCACCCACACGGTCAGCCCCACGTAGAAGAGCTCGGGTGGAATCAGTCCCTCTCTGTCCACCAGCTTCCTTGTGGTCAGCTGCAGAGCAGAAAGGGCTGAAGGCCTGGGCCCAGAAGCCTGCAGCCACTGTGCTCCCCAACCTTTCCAGCCCTTTCCCAACCTGGCTGAAATCCAGAGGCTCCTGGGAGTCTCCGGTCTGGATGAGCAGCTTGTAGGCCAGGGCCCCATCCTCAGAGCCATTGCGGTACGAGTGGCGAGTGATGCGCCCAGAAGCCCAGTCCTGATCAAACGCAGCCTGGATTCCTGGGAGAGACCAGCATAGGATTCTCTTAGCTGGTGGCCCCAGGGCACTTCTGCCTGCAGCATGTCACCCTGCCAGTCTCCTCGCCTCTCACCCTGTAGCCAGTTTCGGTAATAGTGCAGCCAGGTGCGGGGTTCCTGGGTGGCCGGTGGGGGCAGCACGGCCTTGAGGGAACTGAAGCGCTGGTGCAGATCAAAGAGGGCGCGTTGGGAGTGGGCGTAGTCGAAGCCACCCTGGGTCACCAGGGCCACCTCGTACAGGGAGAAGTACCTGAGCTGGGCGCTCAGGAAGGCATGCTCCTTGGTGCCCCGAGGCACCACATCCGTCAGGGCCAGCCCGTCTTGCACCAGTGTGGCTCCGTAGAGGCTCAGGCCCAGAAGAGTGCCAAAAAGCACCAGCACGATGGCCTGTGGGAAATGGCAACTCCGCTGGAGGCCCCAGGGCTGCCCCCCAGCCCCTCTGGCGGTGGGCTAAGCCCTCTGCCCCTCTGGGCCCAGAGATGCTAAGTCTCTGCCCTGTTCCCCCCAGTCTTACCTTGACCTGTGACTGGAGCAGCAAGGGGGCAAACTGATAGCGGGCAAAATGGGTAAGATTCCAGCGGGCACAGGGCAGGGACCTGCAGGCTGCCTTCTGCTTTGGCTCCTCCTCCTGGCCTAGAAGGTCCCGTGTGGACCCTCCAGGGCTGAAGAGCTCAGAGCCCAGTGGGTCAGAAGGTGGAGGCACCAGGTGGGCCTGGGGAGGCAGGATGGTGACCACATGCTGGCTGCTGGCTTCACAGTGGGTAAAGGCTTGAACTGTGGCCGTCAGGTGGGTAATGCCCACTGGTACTGTCCTGTCCCCCAGCTCCTGGGGAAGGATCTGAATCACCCGAGCAGAGCAGGGACTGGAAGAGGCAGAGAGTGGATGAGAGGTCTATGCCCTGAAATGCTGGTGAGGGGACAGGCTGGCGTGGGTCATGGGAGGAGGGCTGGGGTGCAGACAGTACCTGGAGAAGCAGCAGAGCACATCCAGGCGCTGGCAGTGGCGCCGCCGTAGGTCCAGGCTGAGGATGGCTGGGAAGACAAGCATCACGGCTACAAAGGTGCAGCCAACCACTATGGCCGCCTGGGGGATGGACAGGAGGGGCATGAAGGCTGGATGAAGCTCGGCCTCAGCTCCACACTCACCCTGGGCTGCCCCTCGTGAGGCCTCACCTGCAGGGAGAAGGCTCGCAGTGCAGGGATGGGAACGAGGGCAGCCATGAGGAAGGCGGCCATGTTGTTGATGGATGTGAGGACCACACTGGTGCCCGTGCGCTGCAGACACTCGCCCATTTGGTCCTGCCAGGACAGAGTAGGGACCTGCCCTCAGGTCACAAGGGAGGGGCTGTGTCAAGGTAGAGTCAAGGGGAGGCTCAGGAACCTGGGGTGTGGAGGTGGGGCAGTCATAACATAGCAGCTAGCACTTATTGGGTACCATGCACATGTCATGGGCTATTCTAAGCACTCGAGTTATCTTACAGATCCAAACAACAACCCTTGGGACACAGCACTATTATTCCCCCTGTTTACAGATAAGGACACTGAGGCACTGAAGTTCATTAGCAGCCCAAGGTCACTTGAACCAAGAGGCTCTTAACCAATAGGCTGAGCTGCCTCAGATGAGCCCTGGAGGACGAGGCCACACCTGGAGACGGGTGCCAGGCAGAGCCTCTGTGAAGGCGTGTGCCAGCAGGAATACGTGATCCACACCAATTCCCAGAGCCAGGAAGGGCAGCACCTGGAGGGGCAGAGAGCGGGCAGCTGGAGGACCCATGTAGCCTGGTGACTGGCACTGAGTTGGCCCTGTAGTCCTGGTGTACCTGGGTAGTGGCAGCATTGAAGGTGATGCCGAGCAGGGCACAGAGCCCAAGGCCTGAGGCCACTGCCAGGGCCACCAGCAGCACCCCAGCGAGGCCCACGGCACCCTGGGACTGGGCACAGTCCCACCGCAGCATGGTCACACAGGCATAGGCCAGCTGTGGGGAGAAAGGGCAGTCTCAGACAGGAGCTCCCAGGGTGGGCACTGGGTGGAGGTGGGGTGGGGGCAAGGTGCCCAGTGCAGGACCCACCATGAGCAGGTAGCCTCCCACCACACGGGCAGCACTGACTTCAGAGAATGCATGCAGGATGTCATCCAAGGTGGTGGAGGAGAAGGCGTGGATCTGCTGGGAAGCGTTCTCAGGCAGGGCCTCCTGGGCCAGCTGGAGAAACAGGGTGGATCTGAGGGGGCAGGAGGAGGGAGTGGCCTCAGGGCACCCCCTTGTCCTTGTCCATACTGACTGACCTGCACAAAGCGCCGCTGCCAGGCTTGTAGCACTGTGCCAGCCTGTTCCTCACTCCAGCCTATGTCATGCGTCTGATAGTCACCCCGGAAATGCTCATACAGCTGGCGTGGACTCATCAGCAAGAAGGTGCTCTGCAGGGCCTCTGCCCTGGTGGGGAGTGCGGGGGAACCAGGGGTCAGAGCTGGCCCAGACACCTGGCAAGGGGTGTGTTGGGGGGAACCAGGGGTCAGGCTGGTCCAGACACCTGGCAAGGGTATTCGCTGGAACAAATGTCAGATCTGGCCCAGACACCTGGTGAGGAGTGTTGGGGGGAACCAGGGGTTGGCCTGGCCTAGACACCTGGCAAAAATGTGCAGGGGCCTTTGCAGAGCTGCCTGACGTTACAATATGGATTCTCATGCATGGAGTCCCCTCACCAACTCCCAGGGGAGGCCCTACCTCAGCAGCTGCCCTTGGGGGTTTCTGGCCGTGCCTCCCAGCAGCAATTCCTCCTGCCAGTGCATGAATTTGTGGGAGAAGCCATGGCAGCCCCCGCTCAGCTCGTCAGCCACATTGGGAACCTGGAGGGGAATCAGAGGGGTTAATGTTTAAGGCTCTGGCCATAGATAACTAGGAAGCCACAAGGGGGAGCAGAGAGTAGGCTGCTGGGAGGAGCTGGCGCAGCTTTGGTGGATTCTGAAGGACCACATTCGCAGGGCTGTAGAGACACCTGGGAAACCAGGTATGATATTCATGCTTATTTACTGTGTTCCTAGTTTCCCTATATGAGTCTGTTTTGATAAGAAGTCCAGCCTTGGCCAGGCACAGTGGCTCACACCTGTATCCCAGCACTTTGGAAAGCCGAGGCAGGTGGATCACCTGAAGGCAGGTGTTTGGGACCAGCCTGGCCAACATGGTGAAACCCCATTTCTACTGAAAAGATAAAATTAGCCAGGTTTGGTTGCGGGTGCCTGTAGTCCCAGCTACTTGGGAGGCTGAGGCAGAACTGCTTGAGCTGAGGTTGCAGTGAGCCAAGATCGAGCTACTGCACTCCAGCCTGGCGACACAGCAAGACTCAAAAAGAAAGTCCAGCCTTATAAAAGGAAAAAGGGATTCATATACCACTTGAGGGTTCTGTAGGATAAGGAATGGGAATGGAACACTGGGGTCCTGGCACAGTAGGAGCAGGGTAATAATGGCCAGGAAGTGGGGGTCAGGCCACAGAGCTGTCTGCTCCCCCAGAATACAGGAATGTATGAGGAGGGGAAAGGGAAGGAAAACAGCCTTTCCCTGCAGACCTGGCTGGAACCCACCTGCCTGCTGTGATGGTTGGGGGCACTAGGTGGGCAGTGGAGGTCGTCAGGGTGCAGACAGGGCCGCCCCACGTAGGCCTGGCCCACCTGTGCCTTGTCTAGCAGCTCCCGGAAGCCCTCAAGGGAGGCAAAGGGACCCAGCTCCTCCAGCAGCTGCTCTGGATCCAGGTTGGTCCACTGGATATCCGGGCGGCCACTGAGGGGAAAGCCCATGGTTGGCGAGGGTCAGGGATGAAAACCCAGGCTCCAAACTGCTACTGGGGCCCCATGCTGTGCCCCACTCTTCTCTTATCTGCTGATCTGTCCCTCAATATGGAGGGTGTGCAAGGCTCAGCTTCTCAGAACTGCCAGGCTGCATAGGCCCACCAGGGTGCTACAGTGAGCTGTAGTTGGGTACAAGAGGATATCAGGGCAGGGTTACCTAATACATAGAAAGGGCCCAGAAAGGCCCCACTGAGTCCCTTAGCAAGCTGTCTGTGCTTGGTTCTAACATATAACCAGCAGGCACATGCTTGTAGCAAGTTTTCTTTCTCGCCTGGGCAACAGCTTAGCAGACACCTATTTAATTCCCCCCAGCAAAGCCTCTTTCTGGGGATCTTTTTCTGCTTTGCTCAGAGCTAACAGATCTTTGTGTTTAGTTTTGTCTAAATAAGACAGTCTTCCTTCCTTCAGAGGGAAGGAGAAGGGGGATGTGGAGAGCGCCCTGCGGAATCCCATGCTCTGTTCCTGGCCTGGGAGGTAATCAGGGTCTTGGTAAGGTTTTGATCATCCTCATTCCCCCGACCCCTCCTTTCTGCTGGGAGAGTCTTCAGCGGGAGATGAAGCAGGGCCCGGAGCAGCTCTGGCACTCACGGCAGGTAGGCGGAGCCCCCTTGGAGTTTGGCTCCCTCCCAGAAGCAGTCGAGGGGTGTGAGGATCACGCACGGAAACAGCTTCTCAATCATCTGCCAGGGACACCCAGGCCACATCAGTCCTGCCCCACAGCCTTTGTAGGATGCCCTCTGCAATCTCCCTCCTTAGTTTTAAGGGATAGGATTGCAGGCTGTGGGGCTTGCTGTGTCTCTCTGAGTCCTCCCACGCCACAGAAAAGGTTCTGCCTCTACTCCCTCTCAGGACACTTACCCGCTCAATCATTCCATTTTCAATAAGGGGAACTCCTGACTTATAGCAGATTTTGTTCAAATCCCAGGACCTGCAATAGCCAGGGGCACAGGAAATCAGCAGAAGAGGGGGCTTCCCACTCCAGAACCCCCACGGCACGCTTCACCCCCAGCTGCTCAGGGGCTCAGCCAGACTCACTTCCCATAGAGTGATACTTGGACTTTGCTGGCAGTGAGGGCTGCCTGGAGGTGGAGGCCAAGCGCTTCAGGCGTGAGGATGTTCTCTCCCTCCTGGCGTGAGGTCTGTATCAGCATCTGAGAGGTGTATGCAGCCTCCTCCCCCAGCTTCTCCTTGGTGTAATGCAGCTCCTGGCTCACCCGGCTGCCCACTGCCGGAGCAAAGAGAGAAAAGGGCCTGTGAAGGTCAGAACTAGGGAAGGGGGCTCTTAACTCTGAGGCCTCCCCAGACAAGTGGGAGAGGAGGCCCTGCCTTATCCCTGAGGGCCTTATTAGGGCCCAGGTGAACTCCCCAGGCTTCTGGTCCTGGAGCTCTGCCAGGGAAGTGGGGAAACCCGGGTTGTGCGCTCTGCGGATTTCTTGTGTGGTCTAGGCTACGCATGAACCACGTTGGCTGGGCTTCGGGCATAAACTTAAAAATGACAATCAGCATGAGCTGGCCCTGGGTGGGGGAGTTGTGGGGGAATCTTGGTAAGGGAACCTTCATTCAGTCCCTCTCTGCTCTGGTGGGGAGGACAAGGAGGGCCACTGGGGGCAATAGGGAGGCTGCTGCTGGGAGGGTTTCCTGAAAGAACAGGTCTAGGGCTGGGGCTGGTTCTCAGTTCAGGTTGCTCCGGGCAGTGATTTATATCACACACATCTTTCTGCAAGCTGTTCTGGAGAAAGGGTGGGAAGGGATGGGAGTGTCTGGTAATCATGGGCCCTGCGTTGGTGTGGGCAAGGGAGAGGATTGGAAGTCATTCAGGGTTCTGCTCCCTTTCAGGCAGGAAGTGCATGGAATCAGCTCACGAATCCTGGCAGGGGTGCAATCATAGTGGGCCAAGGGGAGGGAGGAGTCCGGATCACTTTCAGCACCCCCACTGTCCAGAACACAGGGAGTCCAGGCTCCAGGCTGCCTTAGGTTCCTGGATCTTAGCTCCCCTCCAGTCCTGCGTTATGCTGGCCACAGGGTCCTAGTCTGTAGCTGGGACCTGGGGGAGGTGGGGACATTGTGAGGGGATATCACGTAACTATGATGTGGGGAAGAGTGAGGGCCAAATTCACCTCTGGAGGCTTTGTGGATTTGGTCTCATCTCAGACCCTGTGCTGTTTCCACCTGTCTGGGGGTCTCCTCCTGTTAGTCTTTGCTGCCCGCTGGGACCCACAGCACTGCTTCTCTGAAATTCAAGCCCCTCTGAGATTGTCATGCTTCCCAATCTTTTTTCGAGATAGGGCCTTGCTCTGTTGCCTAGGCTGGAGTGCAGTGGCCTGATCACAGCTCACTGTAGCTTTGACTTCTGGGCTCAGGTGATCTTCCCACCTCAGCCTCCTGAGTAGCTGGGACCACAGGTGCTTGCCACCACGCCTGGCTAATTTTTAATTTTTTTGCAGAGATGAGGTCTCATTATGTTGCCCAAACTAATCTTAAACTAATGGGCTCAAGTGATCCTCCCACCCCAGCCTCCTAAAATGCTGGGATTACAGGCATGAGTCAATGCGCCTAGCCCTCTAATCTCTTTCAAACCCATGTTCTTGTCACTCGCAAAAGCCCCAAATCCTTGGTAACTCCAACACATAATTATACATATGCTCCCATCTCTCCACTCCCTGACAGTCACATTCCTGGCCTTCGCCTCATGAAAACAGTCTTCCTGTCTTGCTCTCCATACAGCCAGATTCCACCTACTCTTTTTCTTCCTCCCCTGACTTTTTTTTTTTTTTTTGGACAGTTTCACTCTTATTGCCCAGTCTGGAGTGCAATGGCACAATCTTGGCTCACTGAAACCTCTGCCTCCTGGGTTTAAGTGGTTCTCCTGCCTCAGCCTCCTGAGTAGCTGGAATTACAGGTGTGCACCACCACACCCAGCTAATTTTTGTATTATTAATAGAGACAAGATTTCACCATGTTGGCCAGGCTGGTCTCCAACTCCTGACCTCAGGCAATCTACCTGCCTTGGGCCTCCCAAAGTGCTGGGAGCACATCACCATGATGACTGGCCTTTTTTTTTTTTTTTTTTTTTTTTTTGAGAGGAAGTCTTGCTCTGTCACCAGGCTGAAGTGCAGTGGTGTGATCTCAGCTCACTGCAACCTGCGCCTCCCGAGTTCAAGCAATTCTCTTGCCTCAACCTCCAGAATAGCTGGGATTACAGGCACCCACCACCATGCCTGGCTAATTTTTGTATTTTTAGTAGAGATGGGATTTCACCATGTTGGCCAGGTCTCAAGCCCCTGGCCTCAAGTGATCTGCCCACCTCGGCCTCCCAAAGTGCTGGGATTACAGGCGTGAGTCATTAAGCCTGGCTGCTCCTTCTCTGACTCTTCCCTACTTCCCATTCCTTTGCCAGGTCTGTATTGCACTGTTTATTTCACCAGGCTTAGGCCAAAGCCTGCTGCATGGAGGGGAAGGAGGAGAGGACAGAGATAAGCTCCCCATAGTAAGTGGGTTAGCTGAGAGGAAGGTGTGGGAGGAGGAAGAAACCCAGAGAGATCTGATAAGAAAGCAGGAGCATGAAAGGTGGATAATTTAAATTGGAGCATCAGAAAGAATAAAGACTCCTCAGAAGAGAAATGGGGAAGAGAAAAAGATAAACCTCAGTTGACAATGATAGATATAGACAGATGAACTGGGATGCATTGTGGTGCAGGAAGGAAGAGATGATGATGCTTAGTCTGTGCTTTGGGCTAATTACTTACTCTCTCTGAGTCTCCAGTTCCTCATCTGTCAAATGGGAACAGGGATTACCTTGGTAGAGTTAGAATCAGTGCAGGTAAAGTACTTAGGAAATTGCATGGCACATAGTAGGTACAGATATGGAGTTATTCAGCAGTTGCTGGAAGAGAAATGATGTAACAGAAAAATGAGAAGGAACTGAAGGAAAGAAAGACTGCAGGTGAGTGGGGAGGAGATAAGACAGGAGGGAGAACATCAAGATCGATACATTAAAAAAAACTTGTCTCTCTCTCTTTTTAAAAAATTTTTTTTGAGGCCGGGTGTGGTGGCTCAAGCCTGTAATCCCAGCACTTTGGGAGGCCGAGGCGGGTGGATCACGAGTTCGAGATCGAGACCATCCTGGTCAACATGGTAAAACCCTGTCTCTACTAAAAATACAAAAAATCAGCTGGGCATGGTGGCACGTGCCTGTAATCCCAGCTACTCAGGAGGCTGAGGCAAGAGAATTGCCTGAACCCAGGAGGTGGAGGTTGCGGTGAGCCAAGACTGTGCCACTGCACTCCAGCCTGGGTAACAAGAGGGAAACTCCGTCTCAAAAAAAAAAAAAAAAAAAAATTTTTTTTGAGACAAGATCTCGCTCTGTTACCTAGGCTGGAGTAAAGTGGTGCGATCACAGCTCACTGCAGCCTTGACCTCCTGGCTCAAGCAGTCCTCCCAAGTAGCTGGAACTACAGGTGTGTGCCACCATGCCCAGCTAAGTTTTGTATTTTTTGTAGAGACGGGTCTCCCCATGTTGTCCAGGCTGGTCTCAAATTCCTGGGCTCAAGTGATCCTCCCACCTCAGCCTCTGAAAGTGCTGGGATTACAGGCATAAGTCACTATGCTTGGCCAAACTTTTTTTTTTTTTTTTTTTTTTTGAGACGGAGTTTCACTCTTGTTACCCAGGTTGGAGTGCAATGGCGCGATCTCGGCTCACTGCAACCTCCGCCTCCTGGGTTCAGGCAATTCTCCTGCCTCAGCCTCCTGAGTAGCTGGGATTACAGGCACGCACCACCATGCCCAGCTAATTTTTTGTATTTTTAGTAGAGACGGGGTTTCACCATGTTGACCAGGATGGTCTCGATCTCTTGACCTCGTGATCCACCCGCCTCGGCCTCCCAAAGTGCTGGGATTACAGGCTTGCGCCACCGCGCCCGGCCTTGGCCAAACTTTTATGTCTTTACTGATGTGAAAATATAACTGGCTAACCAATGTGGAAAAAGAGTCCACCTTATAAGTAATCCTGTAAATGCAAATAAAAATAATAAGTTATTATCTAACAATTTACCAAAAACTTTAAAATTGATAGCACTCATTGCTGGTTTATAGAAGTACACTCTAATCTGCTATGGGAGTGCACTATGGTATACTCTTTGGGGAAAGCAACATTGCAATATGTATGCTTCATAATCTTTGGTCCAGAGGTTTCACGTGTAAGGGCCTATATGTAACTGTAGGGACCTACAGTTGCTTTCTCTGGGTGAAATGGGAGTCCTGGTAGATTTTGAAGAGATAATCTGACTTTTTCATCACCTAACAATGTATTTTTGTGAATACACTGTTGTGAGTTGTGAATGATAAGAGGTGCTCCCAAGAAGAAGTCAGGAAAGGTGTCCTGGACCAAGTGTGTGCAGGGAACTGTCAAAGGCTCAGTGTTTCGGTACTGCTAAGAGTGAGTCAGGGAGGAGCCAGTGACAGTGCGGGAGAAGCAATCAAGTCCAATTGTGGAGGGCCTAGAGTGTGTGCTGTGGAGTTTATACTTTACTTCACAGATTCTGGTAGAAATTGGTGGAAGGGCTCTAAGAAGGGGACTGACTTGGCCAGATGGAGATGGGCCACAGGGCAGTGCTGTGGAGGCAGATTTGAAGATGAGGCTGTCAGCACCTTCCTCCTTTCTAAAAGACCCTAATTTTGGTGGCCATCCTTGGAAAGGCCTAGTGATTCGGGACAGCTGGGCTCTTCCCCAGCATCAGAAGATGAAACTTGATTAGTTTAAGAAGCCAATCAGTAATTCCATTGCCTTTGGCAAGTTTAGGATTTCCGCATAGGATGCTACATAGTTCTCCTCAAAGATATCAAATCAGAAGTTGGCTGAGAGGCTTCTAATAAATTTTTCCTCAGTTTCTTTCTTTCTTTTTCTTTCTTTTTTTTTTTTTTGAGATGGAGTTTTTGCTCTTTTGCCCAGGCTGGAGTGTATTGGCAATCTTGGCTCACCACAACCTCCGCCTCCCAGGTTCAAGCAATTCTCCTGCCTCAGCCTCCTGAGTAGCTGGGATTACAGGCGCCTAGCTAATTTTTGTATTTTTAGTAGAGATGGGTTTTCACCATGTTGGCCAGTATGGTCTCATGATCTGCCCGCCTTGGCCTCCCAAAATGCTGGGATTACAGGCGTGAGCCACTGCACCTGGCCTAAATTTTTCTTCACTTTCAAAAAGACATGCAAGACCAGGCACGGTGGCTCATGCAGGTAATCACAGCACTTCAAAGGCAAAGGCAAGAGGATCGCTTGAGACCAGTTCAAGACCAGCCTGGGGGCTGGCCTGGCGTGGTGGCTCAGGCCTGTAATCCTAGCTCTTTGGAAGGCTGAGGTGGGCAGACCAGGTCAGAGGTTGAGACTAGTGTGGCCAATGTGTGAAACCCAGTCTCTACTAAACATACAAAAATTAGCCAGGTGTGGTGTGGGGAGGTTGGAGTGAGCTGAGATTGCGCCAATGCACTTCTTTCCTCCCTCCTTCCTTTCCTTTCTTTCTCTTTCATGTGGCTAAGAGCATTCTATTATTTTATTTATGTATTTATTTATCTTATTATTGTTATTTTTCCGAGATGGAATTTCGCTCCTGTTGCCCAGGCTGGAGTGCAATGGTGTGATCTTGGCTCATCACAACCTCCACCTGCTGGGTTCAAGAGATTCTCCTGCCTCAGCCTCCCACATAGCTGGGATTACAGGCATGCACCACCACACCCAGCTAATTTTGTATTTTTAGTAGAGTTGGAGTTTCTCCATGTTGGTCAGACTGGTCTGGAACTCCCGACCTCAGGTGATCCACCTGCCTTGGCCTTCCAAAGTGCTGGGATTACAGGCTTGAGCCACCATGCCCAGCCAATTTATTTATTTTTTTGAGATGGAGTCTTTCTCTGATACCCAGGCTGGAGTGCGGTGGCACAATCTCTGCTCACTGCAACTTCTGTCACCTGGGTTTAAGTGATTCTCCTGCCTCAGCCTCTCAGGTAGCTGGGATTACAGGCACACGCCACCATGCCTGACCAAATCTTGTATTTTTACCTTATCTCTACTAAGAGATGAGGTTTCACCATGTTGGCCAGGCTGGTCTCAAACTCCTGACCTTAGGTGATCGACCCACCTTGGTCTCCCAAAATGCTGGGGTTACAGGTATGAGCCACCATGCCTGGCCTTATTTTTAAATTTTTTTTTTTTTTTTTTTTTTTTGAGATGAAGTCTCCCTCTGTCACCCAGGCTGGAGTGCAATGGCACTATCTCGGCTCACTATAACCTCCGCCTCCCAGGATCAAGTGATTCTCTTGCCTCAGCTTCCCAAGTAGCTGGGATTACAGGCGCGTGCCACCTGTAATCCCTGGCTAATTTTTGTATTTTTAGTAGAGACGGTTTCACCATGTTGGTCAGGCTGGTCTTGAACTCCTCACTTCATGATCTGCCTACCTTGGCCTCCCAAAGTGCTGGGATTACAGGCGTGAGGCACTGTGCCCAGCCTTATTTTTTAATTTTTAAGAAACAGAGATGGGGTTTTGCCATGTTTCCCAGGCTGGTCTTGAATTCCTGGGCTCAGTCAAGCCTCCCACCTTGGCCTCCCAAAGTGCTAGGATTACAAGTATGAGCCACCATGCCTGATCTGAAGGCATTCTAAATGATACAATCAGGAGTATATTGCCAGAGATGGAACAAGGCCTCAACTAAAGCAGTGACCACAAAGTAGAAAGGACGGGTCTGTTACAAGAGAGTTTAAGAAACAAGGATTTACTAGTTTAGTAACAAATTGGACGAGCAAGAACTGAGGCTGACTCCTAAGGTTTTAGCTTTAGGTATTTAAGTGATGGTGGTTCTACCAACTCATATAATGCCATCCCTGTCTTCTAAATAGAATTGTAGCTCTTGTTGCCTTGGCTGGAGTGCAATGGCATGATTTTGACTCACTGCAACCTCCGCCTCCTGGGTTCAAGAGATTCTCCTGCCTCAACCTCAGGAGTAGCTGGGACTATAGGCATGAACCACCACAGTCGGCTAATTTTTATATTTTTAGTAGAGATGGAGTTTCACCAAGTTAGCCAGGCTGGACTCGAACTCCTGACCTTAGGTGGCCTCCCAAAGTGCTGGGATTACAGGTGTGAACCACTGCACCCTACCTGCTTACTCTTTTTCTTTGAGACTGGGTCTCATGGTGAGACTCCATCTCTTTGAAAAAAAGGTCACTGCTTTTACTTCATCCCTAGCCAATATAGGACAGAGCGATATTCTGAAATAAAGGAAAAAAGCCTGGGAATTGGCTACCATCCTCTATAACACTCTCCCTCAAACAACAGCAAAAAACTGCTAGGGTCTAAGGTTTCCTATGCAGGAGTGTAGGAGAGGACAAGGAAATGTGGAGATTCAAGCAGTGTTTAGTTAGGGCAGATGTGGGGATGGAGAGGGAGGAGGGGAAGGGAGACTGCTTCTGTTGTGGCAGGAAATCCAAGAGTCATTTGGGACCACCCAGGCAGCAGTGGTGTGGGTGGGGGTATGTGTATGTGCGTGTGTGCACATGTGTGTCCTGGGACTGGGGGCAGACAGGCAGACAGAGCAAAACATCTGCTCTGGACCCCAGGGCTGGCTGAAAGTGTGTATGTATGTGAGAGTCTGCAGGGCTCAGGGTAGGTAGGGTGGGGACGTGTGGGAGCCCAGTAGGCAGGCAAGCTCTGAGAAACATCTGCTCTGGATCCTAGGACTTGCCAGTATTTGGAATAACTCAAGGGTGTGAGACTCCAACCTGGGCTCTGCCATTGAGTATGGGCCAAGGCTGAGGGAGCCTACAAAATGCAAATTTCCCAGGGAAAAATAGACTGGAGTTTGACTTCTATTAAGGGCTGCCATATGAAACCAGGCCTCAGGAAAGGAGAGAGTCATACTGAAATTATTAATAAGAAATCATTCTGGCTGGGCGCGGTGGTTCACGCCTGTAATCCTAGCACTTTGGGATGCTGAAGTGGGCAGTTTACTTGAGGCCTGGAGTTCGAGACCAGCCTGGCCAACATGGCAAAACCCTGTCTCTACTAAAAATACAAAAATTAGGCTGGGCATGGTGGCTCACACCTGTAATCCCAGCACTTTGGGAGGCCTAGGTGGGCAGATCACAAGGTCAGGAGTTCGAGACCAGCCTGGCTAACATGGTGAAACCCCATCTCTACTAAAAATACAAAAATTAGCCAGTGTGGGGGTGGGTGCCTGTAATCCCAGTTATTTGGGAGGCTGAGGCAGAAGAATCACTTGAACCCAGGAATTGAAGGTTGCAGTGATCCAAGATTGCGCCACTGCTCTCCAGCCTGGGTGACAGAGCAAGACTCCACCTCAAAAAAAAAAAAAACAACAAAACAAAAACAACAACAAAAAAAAACGGCCGGGTGCGGTGGCTCAAGCCTGTAATCCCAGCACTTTGGGAGGCCGAGGTGGGTGTATCACGAGGTCAAGAGATTGAGACCATCCTGGTCAACATGGTGAAACCCCGTCTCTACTAAAAATTACAAAACATTAGCTGGGCATGGTGGCGCATGCCTGTAATCCCAGCTACTCAGGAGGCTGAGGCAGGAGAATTGCCTGAACCCAGGAGGCGGAGGTTGCGGTGAGCTGAGATTGCGCCATTGCACTCCAGCCTGGGTAACAAGAGCGAAACTCTGTCTCAAAAAAAAAAAAAAAAAAAAAAAATTATTTTATGCTTCCGGATTTGATCCCACCTGACCCTGGCTGTTGCCTCAAATTGTGGATTCTGTCATGCTTTTCCATTAATTGGGCCCAGGTGTATGAACCCTCTCCCTGGAGGCTTAGCCAGATCATTTACTCAGTTTCCCCAGCCTTCTAGTTCTAACTTTTCTGATTCTTCTGGTCAGAAGTGATTTCTCCCTGCCTTCTTTTATACAACATAATCACCAGGTGCTCTGTATTGTATTTTAGTTATTCCAGCACATATTTTACTTTCCTTGCTACTGAAAGATGAGCCTTGTTATAGCTGCCTTTGTAAACCCTGATGCATTTCTATGTTAACACATAGAAAGTTACCAATAAATGTTAAATACACACATACAAAATAATAGACAAATATTCTATACACCCAATTCACAGGGTCTGCAGATAGCCATTTATGGGTGTGGGAGGGTACAGTGTTCCTTGATGCCCAGATGTATAGATTCTGACCAGCAGGTGCCCCTCTAGCCCCAGGGCCAGGCCTACTAGGGCTCAGTAGCCAGCTTCTCACCCCATTCTTGCTTTGGGCTCACCATACCTGAGCCGCTATGGCCAGTGTCCACAACTCACCTTCTACCCAGAGCTGTTCCAGGTTTGTCTCAATAATAGCCACGCGAAGACCTAATGCCAGGGCCCCAAAGGCCAACAGTCCCAGAAAGAGCACTTTGCCACAGTGTCTCTGGATCCCAAAGCCCAGAGAGAAGAGCAGGCCCTGGAAGTAAGCACGAAGCCAGAGTGGAGCCTTTAGGCTCCCAGCTAGGATCTGGGATAGAAAGAGAAGGGTCAGCCAGGTATCACTGCAACAATACATGAAATCCTTCCCTTCTCACCCTGTATATCCGATGCCAAGCCCTAGCTTCTAGATTTCCAGATGTGGGACAGGGAGTACCAACAGACACAGGTCCAAACTTGGAAGATGTAACACCCGCCATCCCCAGCTCCCTCCCTCCATTCCTCCTTCCCTTCCTCCCTCTCTTCCTTCCTTCCTTCTTTCCTTCTTCCCTCCCTTCTTTTTCTTTCTTTTCTTTCTTCCTTTCTTTCTCCCTTCCTTCCTTCTCTCTTTCTCTTTATTTTTTTGAGATGGAGTCTCTCTCTGTCGCCAAGGCTGCAGTGCAGTGGCACAATCTGGGTTGATTGCAACCTCTGCTGACTGCAACCTCTGCCTCCCGCCTCAGCCTCCTAAGTAGCTGGGACTACAGGTGTAGCTGGGACTGCAGGCACGTGCCACCATGCCCGGCTAATTTTTATTTTTAGTAGAGACGGTGTTTCACCACGTTGGCCAGGCTGGTCTCAAACTCCTGACCTCAGGTGATCCGTCCACCTCAGCCTTCCAAAGTGCTGGGATTACAGGTGTGAGCCACTGGGCCCAGCCGGCATAGGCCCATTTTCTGAGAGCAGGATACATATGTACACACACACACACACACACACACACACACACCCCTGTCGTCGGGCGGACACAGAGGTGAACCCGCAGACACTCATTCTCACTGGCCAGATGACGAGAAGACACAGGAGGCACAGACACGCAGACACACAGACACACACGCACAACTCACTTGCCGTGTTAGCGCTCACTTGCCTTCAGACAACCAATGACACACAGCACGTCAAGACATCACAAACCTTGAAGAGGCCCGAGTGACAGACCTGGCCCTGCTCTTCCTTCTTCCAGCTCCCCTTCTACTCACCTGAGGTGCTGCGGTTCGAGCTGGGGGTGTGTAACTCGGAGGCAGCTCTCTGAGGGGCGGCGACCGAGTCATGCTGGCGGGGAAGAGGGGCGTGGGCGCCCCCAACCCGCATTATCTGGGAACTCTCATAGGCTAGCCCGGCCTCCCGGTACCGCTGGTCCTCTCGTGGGGATTCAGTGGGGCCGCCGAGGCGCGGACGGGGGTGAGACTGTGGGGTGCGGGTGTTAACGGCGGCTGGGAGACAGAAGTGCAGGGCGCTGTGGGTCCGGGGCGCGGCGCCGGGGTTCACCCGCTCAGTGGGCCGAGGCGGCTGGAGGAGGAATGGGTCCCGCGCGCAGGCGAAATCGCTGCCTGGAGACGCCCAGAAGGGCTGGAGGTGCTGACTGGAGTGCCCGGGAGGTGGCTGGAGCTCCAGAAAAAGGGAGCTGGCCGGGGCGACGCCCTCCCATTGGCTGAGGGGCCCGCAAATTACCCGAGCCGCGCGGCCGGACCCGCTGCTAGGTAACGGCGCCGCAGGGGGCGGGGCACGAGACCACCCAGGCTGGGCCACCCCTCGCCTCCCTCCCGCCCGCGAGGCCCCGGGGAGGAGGAGGGAGAGGATCCCAGAGAGGCGCAACGGCGGCCAAGTGTAAGTTCAGATAGGCTGACGCTGAGAAAGGCCGTTTGCGGGCCCTGTTAGGGCTACACTTTTTTTTTCTTTGAGAAGGAGTCTCGCTCTGTCACGCAGGCTGGAGTGCACTGGCGCGATCTCGGCTCACTGCAACCTCCGCCTCCTGGGTTCAAGCGATTCTCTGCTTCAGCCGCCCGAGTAGCTGGGATTACAGGCGCCTGCCACCACGCCCACCTCATGTTTTGCATTTTTAGTAGGGACAAGGATTTCACCATCTTGGCTAGGCTGGTCTTAAACTCCTGACCTCGTGATCCACCCACCTTGGCCTCCCAAAGTGCTGGGATTACAGGCTTGAGCCACCGGGCCCGGCCTTTTATGTTTTTTAAGATGGGGTCTCACAGGCTGGAGTGCAGTGGCTCCATCTAGGCTTGCAGCCTCCGCCTTCCAGGCTCACGCCATCTTCCCACCTCAGCTTCCCGAATAGATGGGACCATAGGCATCCATCACCACGGCCAGCTATTTTTTTTTTTTTTTTGTATTTTTGGTAGAGACTGGGTTTCGCCATGTTGCCCAGGCTGGTCTCGGACTCCCAAGCTCAGGCAGTCCGCCGGCCTCAGCCTTCCAAAGTGTTGGGATGACAGGCGTGAGCCACCGCACCTGGCTTAGGGCCACACTTTTTTTCCTTTTCCAAGCTTAACTCACTTTATTTTTCTTGTATAAAAACCCTATGCCGCTGGGTGCGGTGGCTCATGCCTGTAATCCCTGCACTTTGGGAGGCCGAGGCGGGCGAATCACGAGATCAGGAGTTCAACACCAGCCTGGCCAAGATGGTGAAACCCAGTCTCTACTAAAAATACAAAAAAATTAGCTGGGCGTGGTGGCACACGCCTGTAGTCTCAGCTACTTGGGAGGCTGAGGCAGAAGAATCACCTGAACCTAGGAGACGGAGCTTGTAGTAAGCAGATACTGTGCCACTGCACTCTAGCCTGGACAACAGAGTGAGGCTCCATTTCAAAAACAAAACAAAACAAAAATCCTATGTTGTAGCCACAGCTGGAGCCTGGTGTGAGTCTTGAAGAGGTCATTAGTGAATTCCTGATAAGGAGACTTGGTGAATACAAGTCTCCTTCCAGAGGTCCAGGGGTCAGGTAGCTGTAGGTCTTCAAGATGGCATCAAAGCAGGTAGGGCCACACTTTCTTTCTGACCCAAAGCCCAAGATTTCTTCTGTTCACTCTTCCCGGCCTCCATTCTTGCCCTCTTCAGTCCACTCTCTCCACTGAGACCAGAGTCATCTCTAACATACAAATCTGATAGCCCCAAAGCACAAGGCCACTGGGAACACAGGGTCCTGTGTGATCTAGCTAAAGCCTCATCTCCCATGGTTCCCTCACATCAGTGTTCCCTCGGAGCATAGCCATGTGTTTCTGCCTTTGTACATGTTGTGGCCATTTCGTCTTGGCAGACAATCTTCAAACACTGAACTTGAGTCACTCCCTCACCCAACTTTTTTTTTTTTTTTTTTTTTTTTAGGCGGGATCTCCCTCTGTCACCCAGGTTGGAGTGGAATGGTGCCATCACAGCTCACTGCAGCCTTGACCTCCCAGTCTCAAGAGATCCTCCCACCTCAGCCTCCCAAATGGCTGGGACTACAGGTGTGCACCACCACACCTGGCTAATTTTTGTAATTTTGTATAGATGGGGTTTCACCATGTTGCCCAAGTTGTTCTCGAACTCCTAGGCTCAGGTGATCTGCCTGCCTGTGGCTTCCAAAGTGCTGAAATTATAGGCATGAGCCACTTTACCCAGCTTACCTCCTTTTTGAAACCTTCCTTGATTCATGTCTCTTTCCTGGCAGATAACTGCTTCTTTATTTGTGCTCTGTATAACAACTCAATTTATATATGTATAATTGCATTTATGATACAATAACTTATGTACTTGAAAATCTGCCTTCTTCACCAGACAATAAATAGGTGCTCAATAATTGTGGAGTGAGTCACTAAGAGTTGCAGAACTCAGGGTGTAATGGATTGGAAACAGGAAAGAATAGAGGCAATAGTCCCTCTATTAAACTTTCAACTATCCTGTCTGAGTGGGCTGTTTCTATTGGGTTCCTGACTGATAAATCCTGAGTGGCAGAGTAGGATAAAATCATTATTCCAATATGTAAAGTTTGGGAAAGAGAAAAAGAATCCACGATAAGCTCATGATTCTAACATAACTACTATTATCTCTGGCCAATTTCTTGGTCAATTCTTTCAGACTTAAAAAAAAATCATTACATCATACATACTTCATGTTACTACATAGTTTTTGTGATCAATCATTTGGAGAATACCCTTAGGACAGATTCCCAGAAGTGGGGTTGTTTGGGTCAAAGAGTATGAACATTTTTATGGCTCTTGCTACACACTGTTAAACTAATTTTTGAAAGCTTGTGCAATTTTTTCTTTTTTTTTAAGATGGAGTTTCTGTCACCCAGACTGGAGTGGAGTGGTGCAATCTCAGCTCACTGCAACCTCTGCCTCCTGGGTCCAAGCAATCTCTGCCTCAGCCTCCCAAGTAGCTGAGATTGCAGGCACCCACCACCACACCTGGCTAATTTTTTTTTGTATTTTTAGTAGAGATGGGGTTTCACCATCGTGGCCAGGTTGGTCTTGAACTGCTGACCTTGTGATCCACCGCACCTGGCAAGCTTGTGCAAGTTAACATCATCTCTAGAGCCTCAGTCCTGGGGAAAAGGAACATTTAGATTGAGGGGGTGAACACCTAACAGGTTTGCCATTTCCATTGTCCATTCACCCAGAAAAATGCCTGTGGAGGAACTAATATATGTATGATGCTGTTGGCCAAATAGTAACTGCACATGAAAAGCAGCCTACCTGAATAGTACTTTCTTCTCCCTGTTACAGAGTGGGTCCTGCTGAGGATAAAGTGGCATGGTAGCTCACACTTGTAATCCCAGCACTTTGGGAGGCTGAGGTGAGAGGATTGCTTGAAGCCAGGAGTTCAAATCCAGGCAAAATAGTGAGACTCCATCTCTACAAAAAATAAAAAGTTAGCTGGGTGTGGTGGCACACGTCTGTAGTCCCAGCTAATTGGGAGGCTGGGGCAGAATTGTCTGAATCCAGGAGGTAGAGGCTGCAGTGAGCTGTCATTGTGCCATTGCACTCCAGTCTGGGAGACAGTGAGACTTTGTCTCAAAAAACAATAATGATAAGGCCGGGCGCGGTGGCTCAAGCCTGTAATCCCAGCACTTTGGGAGGCCGAGGCGGGTGGATCACAAGGTCAAGAGATCGAGACCATCCTGGTCAACATGGTGAAACTCCGTCTCTACTAAAAATACAAAAAAAATAGCTGGGCATGGTGGTGCGTGCCTGTAATCCCAGCTACTCAGGAGGCTGAGGCAGGAGAATTGCCTGAACCCAGGAGGCGGAGGTTGCGGTGAGCCGAGATCGCGCCATTGCACTCCAGCCTGGGTAACAAGAGCGAAACTCCGTCTCAAAAAAAAAAAAAAAAAAAAAAAAAAAAACAAAAAAAAAAACAATAATGATAATAAAAAAATTTAAGGTTAAAAAAAAGTGTACCCCTAGCACGTCTCTGAAATAGAAACAACCTCTAACTTAGTATGTATGGGCCCCTAGTTTGCTCTTGGGGCAATAGCTGAAGACTGGAAGTGGCCTGGAATCAGCACTGGTTGTCATCGGGAGTCTCCTGATGCTACTATGTTTTAAGTGACTCTCAGATCTCCTTCCTTTTTTTTTTTTTTTTTTTAAATCAGACTCTGCAAGACATAAGGTCCATGGAGAAATAGATTTGTAACCACTTGGGCCTTGGGACTCTGCTTCTATCATAGGCCCACCACTGCTAACAATTGTGGCAAAGTCCAGCCTTTGTATGGATGCTTCCAAGGCAAAGCTGTCTATTAAGGAAACCTCTTGTGTTATAGTTCAAAGACTAGAGTGGGAGAAATGCGTGTACAGTTTTCAACCTAGGGTCTAGTGTGCTGTCTGGCTGCTCCAAGCTACAAAATGACCTATCTTCTCCCAAACAAAATGGTTTCCTGAGTCCAGCTAAGCTCAGCCAGAACCAAAGCCATAGACCCCAGGAATAGGAAAGGATAAAGAGGCTTCTCTTCTCTTTCTGCAAGCAGCCGCCTTTAAGATAGAATGGCTTGTTTATACTTCCACTGGTCCGGGGTATGTGTTTTGGGCCTAAACTAGAGATATTCTCTGAATAACAGGAGAAAAGCAACCTAATTAAAACCGTTATCACCAAGGATTAAATCTCATTACTGACTCATGAGACAAACATGTCTTGGGATCTCTTCTTAAAATTTTTTTTTAATGAGATGGGGTCTCACTATGTCATCTAGCTGGAGTGCAGTGGCACGATCTTGGCACACTGCAAACTCTACCTCCCAGGCTCAAGTAATCTTATCTTAGCCTCCCGAGTAGCTGAGACCACAGGCGCGTGCCACCATGTCTGGCTAATTTTTCGTATTTTATTAGAGACGGTGTTTCATTGTGTTGACCAGGCTGGTCTTAAACTCTGAGCTCAGGCAATCTGCCTGCCCTGGCCTCCCAAAGTACTAGGATTATAGGTATGAACCACTGTGCCTGGCTTTGGGATCTTTTTTTTAAAAAAATTTATTAATTTTTTTCAAGATGATGGAGTCTTGCTCTGTCACCCGGTCTGGAGTACAGTGGCGCCATCTTGGCTCACTGCAACCTGTTTCCCGGGTTCAAGCAATTCTCCTGCCTCAGCCTCCTGAGTAGCTGGGATTATAGGTGCCCGCCACCACGCCTGGCTAATTTTTCTATTTTTAGTAGAGACGGGGTTTCACCATGTTGGTCAGGCTGGTTCTGAACTCTTGACTTTATGATCTGCCTGCCATGGCCTCCCAAAGTGCTGGGATTACAGGCGTGAGCCACTGCACCTGGCTGCTTAGGATCTCTTTTTTTTTTTTTTTTTTTTTGAGACGGAGTTTCACTCTTGTTACTCAGGCTGGAGTGCAATGGCGCGATCTCAGCTCACAGCAACCTCCGCCTCCTGGGTTCAGGCAATTCTCCTGCCTCAGCCTCCTCAGTAGCTAGGATTACAGGCACGCGCCACCATGCCCAGCTAATTTTTTGTATTTTTAGTAGAGACGGAGTTTCACCATGTTGACCAGGATGGTCTCGATCTCTTGACCTCGTGATCCACCCGCTTTGGCCTCTCCCAAAGTGCTGGGATTACAGGCGTGAGCCACCACGCCCGGCCTTAGGATCTCTTATCTGTCCTCTCCTTTGCTGAGTTTTGGTGTTGCAGGGTACCTGCTTTTTAGAAGTTCATTGCCTGAGCGGAACACGGAGACCACAGGGGAAACCACTGTGAGTTGGGGGTACTCAGGGATGCTTCCAGAAGTGAAAGGAACTGGATGGGAGAGGTGGGAGGATGACAGAATCTAAAAGGAAAAGGAATGAATGGCTCATGGCCTGGATCTTTCGTTTGCTGGTTGTGAGATCTTGGGAAAGTCACATAATCTCCGAAATTAGCATAAGGATTAAATGAGATAATATATACAACTGAGGAACAGTGCCAGGAAAAGTGAGGTGGGCCTCACTCACATACACACAGTGCTGGGTAAAGTGACCAGTCTGGCTTCAGGGGTGGGTTCATGTGGGAGTTAATTCATGGTGGAGGCAAGGCAGGCTTCCTTTCTCTGGCATTCCTCTAGGTTTCCCTCACCAGCTTTGGCTGCTTCTGTTATCTAGGCCAAGCAGGGTCAAAGACCCTGCGATGTGCAAGAGGGAAGTGGGGGGCCTGGGCATCCCCATCCCCACCTGTTACATTTAGGGGCCAAGCCTGCGTATGTGTGCTCCTTCCCTGTGGGCTGGTTCAGGCCAATAGTACCTACCAAGTATTTGGTGCCAGAGGCTGCAACCAGAGACTAGGGAATGGTCCTTCACTTTAAAGTGTAAGGGAAGGAGAGAGGCTAAGAACAAATACAGCCTCTCTCCATTTATCCATGGCAGAAAGGCCCGACACAATCATCCTGGGTAGTGACAGATGGCTCAGGCCAAGGACAGGTCATACTGGCTTCCAACAGAATGTGTTCTCCTCCCAGTCTCTCTCCCTCTGGGTCAGCTTCATTAGAGCAGAGCTTTCTAGACCTTCTGTCTGGGTGGTCCTTTCCATGGGCCTCTAACTTCCTCAGGCACATTTGACTATTTAGAAAGCTGCAGACAAAGGCCTGGTTTCTGTACCTCCTTAGGAGTAGGGAGAGCTGTAGATAAAGAAAGTGTATCCCCTGGTATTCTCTGGAAATAGAAACAACTTCTCAACTAGGCCCTGCAGACCCTAGATTCCTGTTGGGACTACAGCTAAACACAACTTCTGTCTCTCCACTGGGTATAGAAGCGGGGTGGTAATAGTAATGCAGTGAAGAACTCGGAGGAAGTTCAACTTTTGGCCTTGGGAAAGAGCTTGGAGGGTAATCTTGGCAGTCTTATAGGCTCATAGGAGCTCATGGCCCTTCACTTCAAGTATGGGAAAAGGAGAGAGGCTAAGAACCAATGCAGCATCTCACACTTAATCCTTGGCAGAAGGCCCCTGATGCAATCATTCTGTGTAGTGGCAGTCTTCTCGGCTCAAGGAACTCTTGCAGTAGGCAAGGATGAGTTGTTACTAGGGGATGGGATTCCTAGAGTAGCAGCCGTCGAGTTGTGTCTGACCTGGCGAGCTCCCAGAATCCTGTTTCTCAGCACATTCCCAGAGTCCTCCCTGATTTGGCATTCAAGGTCCCCTTTCTCCTCTTCCTCCATTTCCCTCATTGAGCATCACTGGGAGGGGCAGGGCAGATCCCATCAACTCTTCTGCCTGCCTGGCTTTTCTGATTTCTGCCCCATGAGAGGTGGCCAGCCAGTGGACATTCAGTTACTCACTATGTTTCAGACATACTCAACCCCTCTGTAGCTGCTACCAGAAGGAAACAAAAACTGTCCCTGCCTTCTGGCAGACAAACAGAGCAAAGAGAAGAAAAATCAAAGCATCTTGGGCACCCAGCCAGTCCTGGAACTGTCAGACAATAGCAGCAGTGTACTGAGCTGGGGGCTGCTCCCAGCTGGGACTCAAACTCAACAAGCCTTCCTCTGGGAAAGCTTTACCTTTTGTTTTCTCCAGTTCTCTCCCTTCCTTGATGCAGAGGCCATTCGATGGACTTGTGCTAAGGGAAGGCACAGGAGAGGTTTTTGCTCTGTCTCACCGTCAGGGGTTCTAAGGGCTCAGTGGGGAAGGACAGGAAGGAGTGTACAGGAAGGCTCTGAGATAGTTTGATCAATGTCCTTTCCTCCACCCCACTTTCCCTCCTAAATCTTTTTTGTGATCAAGGAGTGATCTTCGGGCTCCTTGGGAGACCTAGGCCCTAAGGGCCAGAAAGCTCTGGGAACGAGGACAAAACCTGAGAACCAGAAGGGCCTTTAACACTCAAGCAGTCCAACTTTCTCATTTTGCGGATGGAAACACTCAAGGTCAGAGGGGAGATAGTGATTTGGCCCAAACCAAACAACATTACAGAGGCCAGATTTTTTTCCACCTAGGCCAGTACTCTGTCTCCAGCACCACCTGGGCCCCACCAATTTAAGTTCCAAAGGGGACCACATTGGGCACCACCACAGCTCTTTATCCCTACATCCCCCTCAGCTCTATTCATTTCAACCACTTCTGCTGGGCCATTTCAGTTCCTGCTTGATTAGGGAAAACTTTCAGGAGTCTTGTTCTGACCAGTGGGAGGAATGTGGAGCTCCAGGGATCTCAAGAAGGCTGACAGAGGTGGAGATCCCCCAGGGTAGGAATGCTCACAAGTTTCTCACAAGCTCTGTGACTAAGATAGGCAAGATTATTCAAGTAAACTTGAGAGCCTTAAGATTTTTGAAGCAATGCAGAAACCAGTATTTCAAATAATTCTTTATAATTACTGCCACCCACAGTGAAGACATCAAGAGAAACCTTTGATAATTCTAGGAGGTAAAATCTCACCCCAGGAGCCACTTTTATCTTCCACCAAACACCTGCAGGTTGTAAGAGAAAGGCAGGGAAAGAGCAGAGTGAATGTGTGTTTGGGAGCAGGGGTGGTGGAGGGAAAGTGGATAGGCCTCTTGAAGGGCTGTGAAGCAGGAGAATTTCTGAAGCAGGAGAATCTGTAGAATTAGGATCTAAAGGAATACAGCTGGTGGAGAGTCAGAAGGAATTTTAAGCCATGATATAGATTCCTGGCTCTTCCATCCCAGGTTGGGCAAACCTCACTGAAGTGAGGTGGAGTGGGGTCTGGCTTGGCTCAGACTACTGCCTCAGACCATGGCTCTTCATGTTCTTATCTCCACTAAAATCTGTAGGAATAGGCTTGTTGGCTAGGCAGGGGCTGCCCCTGCTTCTGTTCAGAGTCTCCAAGGGATATTGAACTGGGGAAAGTGGCTACAGGCTGGTATGAGAGGGGCTGAATAGTGAGCATGGAGGGTGGGGGCTGTGGGTTAGGCAGTGGAAGGGGCTGGGAATCTGTATGGCAGGTATGGAAGCAGAGTCCTGGGCTGATGCTCAGGGGTGGCACTGCCAGCAGCTAGGCCTATGGGTCTACAAAGGCTAATTAGGATAAAGGACTGAAGTACTCCCAGGTCCTTTTAGGTGGGGGATACTTTAAGGACTGGGCTGGGTCAGCCAGTCACAAAGAAGCCTTCCTAGGAGCTTTACATTGGACAGCTGCTGCCCCTACCTGATAAACCTTGGCACACAAGAGTTAGGCCACTGTGTCTGTCCTGTCCCACATGCTTGCTCCAGATGATCTTTACCACATGACTCATGAATATACACTGTGTACATCTGGAGCCCACCTGACGTGGAGCTTGGGACTGCTCCACAAGTCTCCAGCATGTCTTTGGAAGCCCTTCTTTATTGGGAAATAAATACAGAGGCAAACAGGTGGGCCAGCCAACATCTGTGGTTCTGGAGGCCAAAAGGAAGGAGTCTGTCTGACTTGCTTAGAACTCAGATCTCCATGAGCTGGTCATTCCCCACGATCACTTCGTTCACTCGTTCAGCTACAACAGAAAAGGAAAAAAGTTTTCTGAGAACTGGCAGCAAAATAATATTTCAAACCCAATTGCTCTTTTTTTGAGACAGAGTTTCACTCTTGTCACCCAGGCTGGAGTGCAATGGCACGATCTTGGCTCACTGCAATCTCCGCCTACAGGATTCAAGTGATTCTCCTGCCTCAGCCTCCCAAGTAGCTGGGATTATAGGTATCCGCCACCACACCTGGCTAATTTTTGTATTTTTAGTTTAGATGTTGGCCAGGCTGGTCCTGAACTCCTGACCTCAAGTGATCTGCCTCCCTTGGCCTCCCAAAGTGCTGGGATTACAGGTGTGAGCCACTGAGCCCAGCCAAGCCCAACTGCTTCTAATTCTGTGTTCACAAACATTTATTTCTCTTCTATTGTGGCTCTGTTCTTGAGAAGCGCTTGGGAACAGGGGTATATGAGAGAGAGAGAGAGAGGAGAGAGAAACAGAGACAGAGAGAGAGAGAGAGAGAGAGAGTCAGAGAGAGACAGAGAGAGCGAAGAGCGCGAGAGCAAGAGCGAGAGCAAGCGAGCGAGCGCACCTTCCTATACAGGAGGATGGGACTGGCTTTCTATATCCCTGGCTTTGGTGAGGTTTTAAATAGGAGAACTGAAACTTGGTCTTAAAGGATGAATAGTTTCTCCAGGCAGTGATGGAAGGGAAGACATTCCAGGCTGTTAGAACAGCAAGAGCAAAGACAGTGAGATGGGAGAAAGGGGAACATGAAATACTGTGGTGTGGACAGAGGATAGCAAATGGGGGGATAAGAGTAAGAAATGAGGCTAAAAGGATAAATGGAGAGTCAAAGAAGAAAGGGCAATATGGAAATAGTAACACCTACTGCATAGGGTTGTTGTGAGAATTCAATGAGTTAAAGGTAAGTGAATGCTCAATAAGTTGTGGCTATTATTGTTTCTATGAAGTCCAAATCCATAAGGCCCTCCATGACATGATCTTTGCCTATTTCTCCAGCTTAATTTCCCACTATTCTCCATTTTACCAATAAGCCATACTATTTTATACCTTTTTTATTTTTTTGAGACAGGGTCTTGCTTCGTCACCCAGGCTGGAGTGCAGTGGTTCGATCTTGGCTCACTGCAACCTCCACCTCCAGGGTTCAAGCAATTCTCCTGCCTTAGCCTCCCCAGTAGCTGGGACTACAGGCATATGACACCACACTTGGGTGTTTTTTTTTTTCTTTTTGCATTTTTAGTAGAGATGGGGTTTCACCATGTTGGCCAGGCTGGTCTTGAACTCCTGGGCTCAAGTGATCCACCCAGCTCTGGCCTCCCAAAGTGCTGGTATTATAGGTGTCAGCCACCACGCTCAGCCCTGTTTTATACCTTTGAACTTTGGCACATGCCGTTCCCTCTGCCTAGAATGCTTCCCCCTCCATTTTTTCCCATTGCATTCTATCCTAATGTCCTAATCTAGCACCTCTAATATGTGATGCCTTCCCTTTTGAACTATTTCCTGCTTTGTGAAACCACTGTACCTAATACCTATCTCTATTCCTACATTATACCATTCTCTACTTCACTATAAGAACATTGAGGGCACAGGACGCAGTGCCTCATGCTTGTAATCCCAGCACTTTGGGAGGCCAAGGGAGGTGGATCATCTGAGGTCAGGAGTTCAAGACAAGTCTGATCACTGCCACTGCACTCCAGCCTGGGTGACAAAGTGAGACTCTGTCTCAAAAAAAAAAAAAAAGGACAATTTTGCTAGAGAGTTTTAAGACAGTTTTTTTTTTTTTTTTTTTAAACATTTTAAATATTTCAGTTCCCTCTCTTTTTGCTTATGTGATTTAAGAGAAGTCTGATGTCGGCTGGGCACGGTGGCTCACACCTATAATCCCAGCACTTAGGGAGGCCGAGGCAGGTGGATCACGAGGTCAAGAGATCGAGACCATCCTGGTCAACATGGTGAAACCCCGTCTCTACTAAAAATACAAAAAATTAGCTGGGCATGGTGGCGCGTGCCTGTAATCCCAGCTACTCAGGAGGCTGAGGCAGAAGAATTGCCTGAACCCAGGAGGCGGAGGTTGCGATGAGCCGAGATCGTGCTATTGCACTCCAGCATGGGTAACAAGAGTGAAACTCTGTCTCAAAAAAAAAAAAAAAAAAAAAAAAAAAGAGAAGTCTGATGTAATTCTTACGCTTGGTTGCTCATTGATAATGATTTTTTCCTCTTCTGGCTTAAGATTTTATTTTTATCTTTGATTTTCTAAAGTTTCAATGTAATATGCCTATGTTTAAATTTTTTGTATTTATCTTGTTTGGTGTTCTCTTAGCTTTCTTAGATATGTGGATTATGTTTATCTTCAATTTTGGGGAAATCTCAGTCATAATTTCTTTAAACATTTCTTCTGTTCCTTTTTTTCTCCTCCTCCTGGTACTTCATTACACATGTATTGTTTCTATTATAATTGGCCTATACTTATTAAGTATTCTGTTCTTTTTCATTCTTTTTTTCTTTGCTTTTAAGTTTCAGAAGTTGCTATTTAAACTTCTTTAAGCTCACTGATGCTTTCCTTGATTGTATCAGTCTATTGATGAATTCATTGCTATGGGCTAACCAGTGTTCCTCCAAAATTTATATGTTGAAGTCCCAATCCTTAGTATCTCAGAATATAACCATATTTGAAGATAAGATTTTTTAAAGGAGTGGTAAAGTTAAAATGAGACTCCTAGGGTAGGGCCCTCGTACAATGTGATTGATGTCCTTATTAGAAGAAGAAGAGCCACGAGGAATGCATGTGCACAGAGAAAATGCCACAAGAGGGCACGGCAAGAAGGCAACCAGCTGCAAGCCAAGACAGGCCTCAGGAGAAACCAAATGTGCTGACATTTTGATCTTAGACTTACAACTTCCAGAACTGTGAGAAAATAAATTTTTGTTATTTAAGGCACCCATTCTGTGGTACTTTGTTATGATAACCCTATAGCAATGCAAGAATGGCCTAATACATCCATATTGGACAAAATTGACTTTAAGTGAAAAAAAAAATAAAAAGAGACAAAGAAGGCCATCATATAATGATAAAAGGGCCAATTCAGCAAGAGGGTATAACAGTTTGAAATATGTATATATATGTACCCAATAGTGGAATACTCAGACATATTAAAAATGTCATTAGAGCTAAAGAGAGAGAGAGACCTCAACACAGTAATAACTGAGGGCTTCAACACTGCACTTTCAGTATTGGACAGATCATCTAGGTAGAAAGTTAACAAATAAACCTCAAACTTAATCTGTACCATACACCAAATAGACCTAACAGACATTTACAGAACATTTCATCCAATAACTGTGGAATACACATTCTTCTCAGCATCACATAGAATATTCTCCAGGATAGACTATATGTTTGAGCACAAAACAAGTTTCAACAAATTTTGAAAAATCAACATTATATCAAGTATATTCTAGACAAAAATGGAATAGAGTTAGTAATGAATAAGAGGAAGAACTTTGGAAACTGTACAAATACAAATTAAACAACGTGCTTCTGAACAGCCACTGAGTCAATGAAAAAACTAAGAATAAAATAACAAACTTTCTTGAAATAATTGCAAATGGAAACACAACATGCCAAAACCTATGGAATACAACAGAAACAGTGCTAAGAGAAAATTTTACAGCAAAAAACGCCTACAGCAAAAGCTCAGTAAGATTATAAACAACCTACTACTATGTACCTCAAAGAAAGAGAAAAACAAGAAAAAGTGAAATCCAAACATAGTAGAAGAAAAGAAATAATAAAAATCAGAGCAGAACGAAGTGATTTAGAGATTTAAAAATGCAAGGAATCCATGATACAAAAAGTTGATTTTTAAAAGAGATAAATTTTATAAAAACTGCTAGCTAGACTAAACAAGAACAAAAGAGAGAATGCCAAATAAATAAAATCAGAAATAAAAAAGGAGATATTATAACTGATATAAAAGAAATAAGATGGATCATTAGAGACTGTTATGAACAACTATATGCTGACACACTGGAAAAACTAGGAGAAACTGATAAATTCCTGGACACATATAACCTACCTAGATTAAACCTGAAAAAATAGAAAACCTCAACATCCCAATAATGAGTAACAAGACTGAATCAGCAATAAAAAGCCTCTTAGCCAAGAAAAGCACAGGAACAGGTGGTTTTATTGCTTAATTTTACTAAACTTTTAAAGAACTAACATCTTGTTTTTCCTTTTGGTTGCATTTATTTTAATGCTGAATTACTTCTGTGCCATGTTTTTGTTTCTCCAGTTTCTTCTGGTTGTCTTCGTCTTCTGGGCAACCTCCTCTTCTGGTTTAGGAACAATCTGTTCCTTTTCAGTAAGGACCATCTCGATGTGGCAGGGAGAACTCATGTATGGGTTAATCTGACCATGAGCTCTGTAGGACTGGTGGTGCATCTTGGGTGCTTTGTTCCCTTGGATATGCTCAATGACCAGATAATCCACATCTAAATCCTTAAGTTCAGCATTACTCTGCATTTTTAAGCATGCGCAGCAAAAATTCAGCACTCTTTTTGGGCCACCGACCTTGTGTCCAGCCCCACTGCTTGGCCTGGACACACCTGCCAACTCTACCATTGTAACCTCGGAATGGTACACACTGTTTCTGTAAAGTGACATCTTTCAGATACTTCGTGGCTTTTCATATGTGCATATCCTTGATGGCCTGGGCAGTTTCACATGTGTTCTTAGAGTGAACCCGAAGATTGTAACCTCTTTATTTATATGATTTTGTAGGGTTCTCTGGGTCAAGAGAAGAGTGAACCATTTTCACAGATTACCTCAGGCTGCTTAGGGAAAGAGCAAGAACTAACACCCTTTTTTTCAACTATTTTCAAAAAACTGAAGAGATAAGAATTCTTCCTAACTTATTCAATGAGAACAAAGATGCCCAAACCAGACAAGGGCACACAAAAAACAAAAGAACAGGCCGGGCACTGTGGCTCATGCCTGTAATCCCAG